CCCCGGAACCCCCTGCGGACAGCCCCCTGGCCGGGCCGCTCGAGCGCCCGCGGGGCCCCGACGAGGAGGAGGAGGAGGCAGCAGCGGCGCCCCGGAGTCACTGAGGCCCCGCAGCGGGGCGGCGGGGAACCATCCTCCCCAAGCTCGGAGGCCGGACTTTGCAGCAGGACGGGGCGGGAGTGACCCCTCCGGAGTGAACGTCCCCACACACACACCCCTACGATCGCCAGCTCACCCGGGAGCCGGTGTCCCGCAACCGGATCTTCAGGGACCACGATTCGCCAGGGACTGGGGTTTGGTCTTCCCAGGACCGTGCTGCGCCAGGGCCCTGAGCCCTGAGAAGGAAGGGGGGAGTCCTGGCACCGCACCCTCTGTGCTGAAGCTCTGGTGTTTCCTATATGCAGGGGTGACTGGGACTTTCCCCCCCCCCCAAGACTCAGGGGAAGAGGGAGCTGTAGGGGCTCTTTTTTAATAAGCTGAAGCTCTCAAAAGGAAGAGGGCACCAAAAGTAGTGGAGCTCAGGTACGTCAACCTAGTTGCAGTGGCCAGAAATGCATTTAATTTATAGATCCCTGTATATAGTTGTTGACATGTGCACTAGCAGCTATAATCACAGAACTCTATGTACCCTCCCACACCTTGGGTAGCTACTGACTGATATGGTCCAGCAAGGGCTATTTGTGGCCTCCAAAGTGCACCTAGCCGGAAGGGCACAAACATGGCTTTTTCTCATCACCTTCTCTCCCCTGTCCCCCACCTTTTCAGAAAGACAGGTTTATGACGTTCTTACACAGAGAATAATCATTCATGACATGACAGAAGTAGAAGCAGTTTAGGGAGGGTGGTTAATGTACTGATCCCTCCTCTTCCCACCCCTCATGGGGAAGCCAAAGTGGCTTCCTGTTGTAGCCCTGAGTGTCTGGATATGGGCCAGGGGCGATGGAAGAGAAAGAGCAGTGCTGCTGTGCTTTAGTATTTGGCCTTCCTCTCGCAGAATTCTTTTAGGAAGAACAAGCTTTTGTAAGTAAAGTGGCAAGTGTTTTATCCACCCCCTCCCCCTTCTCCTCAGGATCTTGTCAGGTTCCAGATCTTGTCTTAATTTATTTCTTGCTCCTCAAGATCTTGTCTTGTTCACCTTTGCCTTCCTTCTTTCCTGAACCTATAGCAACTCAGCTGCTCTGCTATTGGGATGAAATCTGTTGTGAAACAAGCTTTGTGTCCTCTGGGTTTGAGTTGTACTACAGAATCAGAAAGTCCAGTAGGTGGGCTTCAAACTCAGGATTGTGCTTACCTACCATGCTTAAGGGTTGCGCTCTGATAGCCAATTAAGAGACCAGCCATGGGAAGGTTGAATTGGCTTGTCTTTATCTTTCCTGATAAGCTTCACTTAAATGCAGCCTATAATTTTACAGAGGAGGTGACAAACATCAAGGGAAATGACATACATACAGCTTTGGGGCAGCAAGAATTATACTTACTCAATTTGGATTGCATTTCCTTCTGCCACTTGCTTTTAGGCAATTGAGTGTGGGTAGTGACAAGATATCAAACTCTTTTATGTTTCCTTTTTTGGGAAATGAGGCACTTAAAAAATAATAAAAGGAAAAGATGCACCTGAGTCTTGAAACAGTTTGTCTTTCCAGTTTTCTGGCCTGCATTCTAATTAGCTCTGGTCCAAATTTACAGGACAACAGCCTTGCTTTAAGCCATGTCCTGTTGTGGCCAAGAAAATAGCAACTGAGCTGTCACAGCCTACCAGCAGGCTGGTAACACCCCGAGGTCTCTGGACTTAGAGGACATTTCTTAGACTAGGACTTCAGTCATCAGGAAGCCTATGAGGCCTTTTTAAATTTTTGGTGAGAGACTGAGAGAAGAAACAAAACGCTACTTTATAACTTCAATAATAGCCTGTAATTTATATTTATTGTGTGAATTTTTAGTCCTATATTTTAATAATTTGTAAACTGATCTCTTATTCCAAGAATCCTTTTGGACTTGCAGGAGAACATCTGGGAGTCCAGGCCTGTGCCCCCACCCCCCTTCGTGATCCCAGCTGTCTGGACTGTTTAAATCCAATTTGGGATGGATCAAAGATCCCAGGGAGCCCACTAGTCGGTCCAGCTGGCCTCCTGACTCTAAAGCCTTCACTGGAATTGGGACATTTGCTCCAGCCCTAGCTGTGAACATGACCAGAGACGTTATTTATAATTCAGCCATTCAAGATATACCTGTATTCAAAAAGTCCTGTATATTTTTTAAAAGTTTTATTTTTCAGGTGAACAAAAATACATTCTAAGAACTCTGCCTAAGCCTGTGTTGATCATTTCTCTTATTGGCTTTGTGGGGAAGGAGCAGAGGTGCTCTGAGACCTGGTGGATACTTGGTAATGAATAGGTCTAGGAGGAAGAAGCAATTGCCTTTCTCTTCTCAGTGCCCAGTGGCTCAGCTGAATTGATTATAGCAAAGGGTGGCAGAATCCATCTTAGTCAGGAAGCAGTCATGGGCTTGGGAGAAGTGAGATCTACTCAGCCACCTTTTGCCAACCTTGAAAAGGCTGAAGAAAAGTTGCTTTACCAGACTCTGAGCAGATGCCTGGCTGAAGGCTGAAAGCTAAAAGACCAGTGTGCGTGAATGTTAAACTGTCAGTAAGCCGAGCGCTGAGATGAGGATAAGCTGCCCGATGGCATCGCTCTTCTCACTTTTAAACCGTTTGCTCCTAGATAAATCGGGAAGTGCTAGCCCACTGCTTGGTCAAAGCTTTGTCTGCCAGAACTAAATAGATGAGCGGTGTCGGTTGGTTGCTTCGACGGTAATTTTTCTCCCCTTAAAGCAAACAAAAAAGGTGTGGGTGAAGAGCATAAATATAAGGGTTTAGTTATGCTGCAAAATACATGGTAAGCAATTAAGCTCAGCTCATTATTCGACAATGCTGCCCAGTACAAACCTGAGTGAGAAACCAGTGTTGGTGGGGCCCCCTGAGGCCTGCACTTCACCGGAGCTGTTGGGGGGTTAGCCACTGTGCTTTCACATTACCTTGTAGTCTGCAGGGAGTCATGGAAAAAGCCCGCCCTTCCTTTATTTCCCTCTTCAGCCTACACAATGGCTTTCTGTGAAAGGGCTTGGTAAGGCAGAGCAGAGGGGAGTGAAAGAGTTTCCAGGCTCTCTGAGTCACCCCCTCCTTTCTGCAGACGGTGACATGTGGCTTCTGCTGCTGAGCACAGCTTCATGAGCTGGGCACAGACAGCAGTAGGTCCAGCAGGAGCCTGCTGGTCGATGAGAATGGCCGTGTTGTCTGGGAGCGGTGGTCAGAACAGCTTTCTTTGCAAGCATTAGAAATAAGCAGCAAAATGACCTGTCAGCTAGGAGAGAGAGTTCTCCCAGAAGGTATTTTTTTCCTCTCCTTTGTACCCAGACTACCAGACTATTTCTAGGTGTTTGCTTATATTAGAAGGCACTGTAAACATTCCCTAGCAGCCTCAATTCCAAGGAAGAGAATCCTTTAGTCAGAGTGAAGTTTTAGAAAGTAATGGGGTTAGGGAGCCATTTAAACTGAGTTTTGGGGGTATCTTTTCTGACCGTGGATGCTCAGATGCAAAGAAGAGTTTCTCTGAAATACTTCTCTTCCTAATAGCTGTAGATTGCTACATGGCATGAGACCAGTTTCCCAGATTTTCTGTCTACCTTGTTTTTCAGTTTTCACTGGGGAATCTAAGATAGATAGTGCGTTCTTTAGCTGAGTATTTATATCCCATTTTGAAATGCTGAGTGCAGAGGTCTACTTGTTCCAACATGTTTCTTTAAGGAGAACAGAGAGGTCGGTGGGGGCTTTAGCACTGCCACAGCCATTTAAAAGGGTCAGAATTGTCCTCCCTTTTCTGTCTGCCGAGAATTGAGGTATTTCTGGAATTGTAATTCAGTAACAAAACAGTCACAACTGTACTTTTTTTCCCTTTTGCCTCCCTGGGTGGAGGAAGGGACTGCAGTAACTTTACCCATTTCTTCTGACACGTGCTAACTCAGTGCCTGGCACAGAGCAGTAGGTGCTCAGTTTGTTCATCACCTGGTTGATTGTGGTGTTGGATGGAATTGGCCTGGCTGTTGTTGTGTCCCTGTCATAATCCACTTGTGTACCTGCAACCACAACCCATAATCTGGTACAAAAGGACCCTGCAAATTGTAGCCGCACTAACCCCTCTGGCCTCAGCCTCTTTATTTCCAACAGGAGACAGGTTTGGTCTTCCTGTGCTTTCCAGTTGCCAGAAGTCCACAGCTACGTTCCGTGTGGTGTTTAGTGGACGTGACACAGGCTGTGACCCATTCATTGTCTCCTCTGTGCCAGCCCTAATGTTGAGCTACAAAAATAGCTGTTCTGTTGACAGTTTTTGGTCACATCTGTTTCACTTGCTGACATAGCCTGTGGTTTTGTGCTGCCAGAAAGCCTGTGTTATGCTTTTTCTTCCCTCCAGTAGCTAATTAAATAAACATAACAGCTTCTCTTTGCCACATCACAGACTGTACTGGCCCTCCTCCGACCTGGGTCAGAAACAGGCCTGGCTCCCAGTGGTCCATCATGCACATGAGCCACCTGTCAGTGAGGGGCACTCTGGGCCCCATTCAATTCTAGAAACGTTGGTTAAGCCACCAGGAAGGGACCAGAAAGTGACCAACAACCCTTGCCCTTTATAGTCATGCTCAGAGAGTCTTCAGGTGCCCTGTCTTCTTAATTTCAGCAATGTTTTTACAATAGTTTTTTGGTTAAATAGTAATGAGAGGGGTTTTTTGGTTTTGTTTTTGTCTTTTTGAGACAGGGTCTCGCTATGTAGTTCAGGCTGGTCTTGAGCTCACTTTGTAGCCCAGGCTGGCCTCAAACTCTCAATAATCCCCCTGCTTCAGCCTCCCGAGTGCTGGGATTACAGGCGTGCGCCACCACGCCCGGAAGTAATGAGAATTTAACTAATATCCTTAGGAATGTTTTCCATAAACCACTACCACTCCTTCATGAACTGTTTAGTGCCTGCACTGTAACGAGTGAGCTCCAAAAGCCCCAAAACAAACTTTGTCCAAGAACCAGCAATTGTGTTCATCACCAGTGATTTCCATTTAAAGATTCACTTCTCCGCTCTCTCAATGCTTGTAGTCACTGTTAAGGTCTCCCCAGCCTGTGTACAGAGGCCACCTGACCCCTCTCAGCTCCCTGCTGGTAGCCTGGGCAGTGTCAAATCACGGCGGCTAGCCCCAGAGCTGTGGACAGCTCATGACATCACTAGGACCTGTTGGGGAGACAGTGTGTCCTCAGAAGGGACCCCTGAACTGGAAGCTTGGACACATGGGATCTCAGCGGTGACATTAGTTAAGGCTCTGCTCCTTTCCCTTTTCTGGCAACCGATAGAACTGACCTCAGGAGAGAAAATGGAGGTAACTGATGTGAAGGGGCCTTGAGATCTTGGGAGCAAAGCGCAGTGTATACACAGGAAACAGTGTGTTTTCAAGGGTGTGTCTGCCCCTTTGGGAAAGAACAATGCATGGAAAGAAACGTGAAGGGGTCGTTAGTAAACGACACCATCGCCCAAGCCAACAGTGTCAGCCTCCCCTGGGAACCTGATAGGCCCAGTCCCAGATCAATTGAATGCACAGCTCGGCAACAGAACGGGCCCTCCCATTCTAGCTGGTTTCCAGGTGATGTGTTTGGGTGCACACTGAGTTTGGAGAACCACTGGCCCAGGCTCTCCTCTGATCTGGTCATGTAGGGTTAGGGTCCTTCTGTTTGGACAGCTGGTTATCAAGTGGCTTTTGACCCTTCTGCTTTCTTGAAGCCAGCTGCCCTGCTGGGAGAAGAGGAAGCACTGTGTCCCCTGAGTCCGTAAGAAAAGGGAAAAAGCCTACGTTGTCCATTACTTTTGACAGCGGCAGGAGAACTCGCCCTGGAGAGCTTGTTAAGCCGGAGGCAGGCCTGAGAGCTCCCCCTCCCTCTCCCGCAAAGGCACCAACGGTTGCCGCACCTCCTGCCCTAGGGCCTGCAGCTTCTCCAGCCAGTCCTTAAAAGGAGCAGTGGGTGCCACATTTGTTCTCTCTGGTGCCAGGTCTGTGCTATTTCACTTCCCCGGCGGCAAGTGGATGCTTAGTGAGTGGTGACGTAGGCCCAGCAGGCTTGCTGACAAAAAGCAGCCCTTCTGCCAGCTCTACTCTTCGCCTTCTCCAGCCCTGAGCTCTCCCCCTGCAGAGATGTCATGGGCACCCTGTCAGCCCTTCCTCATCAGCCCTGATAAACCCTGGCTCAGAAGGAGATGCTGGTGGGGTCTGTGGACATTGATAAATGACACAAGAAACAAGTGAAATAGTGAAATAGTGTCTACTTTTTTCTATTTCCTTGACTCCTTCCTCCTCAATTCCATCCCCCCAAGAAGAAACAGCCATATGGAGATTTTTGCCATTTCCTTGGCTGGGGGCGGGAGGGGGGGGTGGACGACTATGGCCATCTTTACCTATTATTCCTGTGCCTCAGGTCAGAGCTGACTGGTAGTGAGACCTTCCAAATTGGTGCCTTGTTAGATTAGCTGGCCATCCCCTGCCTCCTAGGATCCCCAGTTACCTGTCTCTTAACCGTAAGAAAATATAGTCATGATGCTTCTTCCGGTGGTAAAACTTAACTCTAGGATGCAGAGCAAACACCACAAGGCTTTGGTTTCTGAGGAAAATGTGAAAGCAAGCATTTGTAAGATTGCTTCTGTGTCAGAATTAAGGGGAAGTGACGGAGCCAGTGGGTGAGCATAAAGAACAGTCACTTAAAAAGCCGGAATACTTGCTGAGGTGTTCAGTTCTACTGGAACACCCACGGATGGGGGTAAGAGAAGCTACCCCTGGCAGGCTAGATAAACCTTACAAGCCACCTCTCCTTCCCTGGAGAGTGCACTGACCACCAGTGAAGATGAGGACAAAAGAGAATGTAAAGGAAATGACAGAAAGCAAAGTAGACAGAGATCACACCAAATAGCCACTTTGTTTATTCAACAGATTTTCACCGAGTGCCTTCCGAGTGCCAGGTAAGCAGCCTGGAGTGTCTACGGCATGCCAGGTATATTTCACAAACTTTCATTTTCTCAACAACTCTTCAAGGTAGATGTCACTTTGCAAGGAGACTGAGGCCTTACAGGTTAAGATTGGCCAGAGTCACTGAGCTGACAGGTGGCGGGCCTAGGGTTCAGATTCAGTCTGTTAGATGCCAAGGCCAGTGCTCGTTCCACTCTACCATGCTGCCTGTCATCAAAACACATGGCTTTCTTGTGTCTGGTCTACTGTTTTCTTCCTGCTATGTGAGATGGGTCTGGGACAGAGAGGCCTCTGCCTTTTCATTCCTCTTGTCTCAAGGCCTTAGTACAGATGTGCTTTCCCTGCTGGCTCCTTCCTACTCTTGTGTCCCCTCCTTGCTCAGCTCTTCTGGCCCTATGTCTAGGTTCCTGATAGCCAAGTTTAATGAAGGCCTTTGAAGAGTAGTCTTGTCTGATGGTTGGAAAGGGTAAGGGCATCCGAGAAGAAGGGTCAAAGCCAGGAAGAGATATGACCAGCTTGTCACGACTCCATGCACTATGGAGGGTGACTATGCTTCCTCCTCCACAGCTGGTTCCAGTTCCCTTATTTTGCAGAAGAGCGCTCCTTTCCCAGGAGAAGCTCAAGGTATCTCCCTGCACTACCATCTTCCTGCAGCGATGCCATCCTGCGCTATTCTCTCTTCTCCTGGCCTCAGGGCACCCTTTCTCCTAAGAGTTTTTGGGTGCTACCCCATGAAGAGAAGGGCCACATCCTCCAAGCCCTGCTGCCCAACTTTTCCTCCTGCTTTGGTCCCTTTCTGAGAGCCAAGCCAGGGCTGTGCCCAATTTCTCCATTCTCTTTCCACGGTCAGACATGCCTTAACCTGCACCCTTTAATGAAGGCATATCTGTACAGCTGGGAGCTTTGGCTCTGTGGGATACAACTGTGAATTTAGAACTCAAATTCTCTCCTTTTTTGTTTTTGATGTGCTACTGGATTTCAAACCCAGGGCCTCCCTCACGCTAAGCATGTGCTCCACCACAGAGCTACATCCCCAGTCCAGAATTCAAAGTTTTGACTGAAATCATTTTCAGAGACATCTGGACTCAAGGGCTCTGAACCTGTACCCCTAGCCTTATCCTTTGGGAGTAATGAGCTCCAGGGCCTGTGCTCCAAGGCTGTAAACTTCTCACTAGATGACGAGAGGGAAGCTTGAGCTAGGAGTCTTCACCCCGGCCCAGATGTGTCCCAGGTGCATGGGATATTTCCAAGCCTTCCCAAACTCTGTCCAAGCCCACACTGCCGCTTCCACCCTTTCACCTCCTAACATCCCTGACCAGCGCCTTGGTGCTCTGCACAGAGTTGGCACCACCCTCACTGCTTTCTGAAGATGTTCCCAGGAAGCTTGCTTTCCATTCCACTCTGAAACCAAGACGCCTGCTGCACCAGGCAGGAGTAGCCCTTCCCTGCTCCTATACAGCCAGCAACCTGCCTGTTAGATCTGCCTTCTCTCCCAGCCCTCCTCTCCTTTTCATCTAGACCCTTACTGCTCAAAAGGTGGAGTCCAGGAACCAGCAGGAGCAGCAGGCCTCACTTTCAGGCCTTCTCCAGAACCTGCCTGACTTCACAGGAAAGCACGGGAAGGTGTCTCCCTTTCCTGAGTAGAGGGTGGGGGAGGAGCCAAGAGCCAGGGCAGAAGACTGAGCTGCCACCCCACAGCTCTGACCTCATGGGTAACTGTACTGACATCCTGGGGACAATCTGGACTCTCCCTAGAGCCTTGGAGGACCTATGAGGTCCACCAGCCTCTCAGGAAGACCCATGCAGGGCCAGGGAGGAGGGGAGCAGAAGGGGCCACGTGTCCCAGGCAAGGGCCAGGGTTCAAAGGGCATGGGTCACATAAAAGAGGAGCAGCTGCCTCCACCAAGCAGAGATGGCTGTTTCCCCTCCGGCTCCTTCCACTGTCCTGCCCCCAGCGCTGTCAGGCGCCTACGGCCAAGAACAGTTCCTGCTGTTCAGCCTAGAGCTGCCTATGACTGGGTTTCTTCCCTCCCTCTTGTTGGCAAAGCCACCGTCGCCCACCGGCTGGATTACTGGTAGAGGGTGCTCAGGAAATGTTTGTTGAATTGAAAGGAAGCCACAGCTTGTGCAGAGTCTGGATAACTCACCAGACATGGGCCAGGGCGGGGGGGTGGGGAGAGACTAAGTAGGAAAGATAAGACCTGATCTCCTACTTAGCTCGAGTCAATGTCCGTCTGTCTCTTGGGTCTCTGTCTCTGTCTGATTCCTTGCTTTGGCACAGCCTTGGTGCAGCAGGAGGGGAAGAAGGAGGAAGAGAGGGCAGGAAATTACCCTAGGCAGCAGGGCCAGGCCCTGGTCTCCGTTCTGGGTGCACATGAAGTCTGACCTGGCATGGGGGAGGGGAGTGTCTGCTGGCGAGCTCTGCCACCTGCCATAGGTTCAGAAGGTGTCCCCTCCCCAGCCTGCCCTATTTCGGAGAGGAGGCCTTTCCACACAGCCTCCTTTTCACAGCCTACTCTGCTCCCAGCCCAGTCCCTGCCAACCGGCTTCAGAGGTCTCTTTAGGAGAGGTAGGAGGCTGGCAAGTGATGGCTGAGTTCCTCCGGGCTTGGCCATCCTGGGAATCTGGGACTGTGAGTCACCTACGTGAGAGCAAGGAGCATGGAAAGGACCTGGGCCTGGGCTTGCCATGCTGGCTGTGGGCCTGCCTGGACTGGAGGAGGCAGCAGCCTGCGGCCAGAGAGCGAAGCCAGGCCCTAGACACAATGAGTAGCCTGGAAAACAGGGTGCTGGGGGCTAATGAGCCTTGTTCTGTCACCATGGTGGAAAAGGCTTGTGACCTGGGAGCAGTGGGCGCAGGTCAGGGAGCCAGCCTTGGATATCTGGTCTCAGCATAGCAATAGGCCAGAGCCTAAGCCTGCATGTGAGGGTGGGAGGTGGCCCTCTGAGGAGTTTGCCACACTGCTCAGCCAGGCTGGCACAAGCCACCAGCAACCAGGCACCCACCATCAGAAGACTCCTGACTGAGCTTCCCCCTCCTCCCTACCACAGCTCCCAGCTCCTGTGAGCCACACTCAGCATCTTCCCTAAGGGCCAGGCCCCCCTGTCCTGCTCCTCACACCTGTGCCTCTTGCTCTTTGACCAGTTCCTCTGGGGGGCCTGCTTCTTGGAGCCAGGCTCTGCTGGGTCCCAGCTTTGCCAGCCCTGTCCTCTCTGGACTCTAAGGCCCCTGCTCCTTTCTCTGGGCCAGAGGAAGTCTGGACTTCCAGCCCAGACGGGTGGTCATTACCCTCCAGGGGCTGCTGCTGGGAGCCATCTGGCAGGGACACTGGGCTCCCCGGGGCCCCAGGCACTGGACTGAGCATACATGTACTCTCTCCAGGCCTGGGGCTTCTGGTTCCCCCTAGAGAGAGGTCAAGAGGAGCCAGCTCAGTGTTGTGTGGCGAGCCAGGGGCCGAGCTGGCTGTCAAGGCTCCTGACTCCCCTTTCGGCCCCTCTGGGGAGGCCAGGACTGGGCTGGTTGCCAGGCTCCCCTCCAGTCCACCCAACTCTGTGTCGCTCTGCTTCTGTGCATGCTGTTCCTCTGCCCCTGAAGGCTTTCTGGTGCTCTGGCTTCCCTGAAACGAGAGAAGAACCCAGCTGGCTGGTGAGTTCAGGCCTCACATCCCCAGCCCGCCCCAGCCTCTGCCCAGAAACCCACCTCATGACTCTGCAGCTCCTCCTCATCTTCCTTTGTTTCCCACCTGCAGAATACAGAACATGAAGGCCCTGTGCCTACCCTCACCCCACTTTGCGTCACTCCCCACCCCCGTAGCTGGTGGCCCGTGGCCTCTAGGGAGAAGCTAAGGTCTAAGGGTCTCAGAGCAGCAACAGAGCCAGAATGAGGCTCCAGGATGCTTCCCTGCCAGCCAGACCTTGTTCCCCAAATCCAACCATTTCCTCTGAATGCCACCCACTTTGGACCCATCCCGGGTCCCCAGCTGCTGTTTATGGCCAAACCTGCTGCACCTTGAGTTCCACAGGGACTCTAGGCATGTCCCTGCCTGTGCTGCCTGGGAAAGGAGCACCTCACTGCCCAGGGGAAAGGAGCTGCTGTAATTATCCGGCCTCCCTCGGCATGAGGCTCCCTGGCTGCTGCCTCTGCTGGCCTCTCCAGGCATCTCATTAACCTGCACCAGGCAGCAGCCAGCCAGGAGCTTGGGGCCCTGGGGATGGAGGAGGCACCTGTACCAGGCCGTCCAGGAAATCAGGATGCCTAGATGCCTGCCTTGATTTTGTCCCCTGCTAGCAGTTACCTTCGGGCCCTGCCAGTCAGCCTGTCCTTCCCCCGGGGTTTGCTGCCTGTGGCTGGCACCACAGAAGGTCTGCCAGGCTGTCCACCCCGACCTGCAAGATACAGTCCACAGAGCAAGGAGAAGAGGGCATAGCAGCTTGCACTTTCACCAGCCAGTGGCGTCCTGCTCCTCCAACTCACCTTTTCCATCAGGGGACAAGAGTGGGGGCTGTAGCTTCCGTTGGCCCCTGAAACCTAATAGAGGACAAAGGAAATGGGGGAAAGGTTTGGTAATAGAGGATCCGGAGCAGAAACACCCATTCTTCTAGCACCAGGAAGTTATTCGTCCTGATCCACTTGTGGGTTTTCTGTCTCCCCAAAAGAGGTCTGGGCTGGAGCGCTATGGGTAGTTTGCCAGTACCTGGCTGGTTGACTTGACCAGCCACCTGGGCAAGCCCCAGCCTTCTTGCGTGTAGAATGAGAGGGCCAGAAATCCACAGGGCTGTTCCTGTAGCAGGCCAGGGCCACAGGCCTTTCACCTGATGGGGAGAAGCTCCTGGAAAGACCCAGGGACGGCTTCCTGGGGCCTGCAGGGGCCAGAACCTGGAAAGAGCTGTGGATTCAGAGGACAGGAAGGGAGGTCTGACGGCGCAGGGAAGAAGGAAGGGAAGGAAGTTGTTTTCCCAGGCTTCCTTTCAGCTCTGGAAAGATGCTGGAAATCAAGAGACAGAGGGTGGGGGTGAAGGAAGCCGAGGCACAGGGGACAAAGTGGGTGTGGGCTCACCCTTTCGGCCGCCCACCCTAGCTGGACCCTCGTCCCGGGACTTGCTGCAGTCCTGTAGCCTGTGTAGACAGAGCAGGGAGTCAGGTGCTGACGGCAGGGTGCAGAGAGGCAACAACAGACCCCACACTGACACTGCCTCCCTCAGCCCCAGAGCTAAGGGCAGCAGGAAGACAGTGGGCCCAAGAAAGAGGGGACCCAGTGCTCACACAGAGCCCTGAGCCCAGGCCTAACCAGAGGGCCCAGGGAGATCCTCGAGCTCCCAGCAACACCCACACCCAGCCCTACCCAGTCCCACAAGCAACCTGCCCGGCCCTGCCACCCACGTGGGCTTGGCCTTGTCCAGGTCCCACGGGCGGCGCCAGTCACCCTGTGCGTCTCTGTGCCGGGCAAGGCGGGCCAGGTCAATCTGCTCGCGCTCCTGCTTCCACTGTGCATAGTCCCAGCCCGTGGTGTCCGGGGCCGCCCCAACTGGCTGCCGGGGGGCTGGGCTTGAGACCACGCCCGGACTGCGGGGTTCCCGGGCACCCTGCAAGAAGACAGACAACGCCATGGGGACAAAGGCAGGAAGAGGACTGGATACCAGAGATTCTCCTTCCTGACCCTTCCTTTCTGTGCTTTCCCTGTCCCCATCTAAAAATGAGATCTGTTCCATCTCTAAGGGTCTCTATTTGCCCTAGCAGTTTCTTTTTTCTTTTTTTTTTTTTTTTGTCTTTTTGTCCTTTTTCTGTCTTTTTGCTTTTTTGTCCTTTTGTCTTTTTTTGTCTTTTTGTCTTTTTTTTTGTCTTTTTGCAGTTCATGCTGGCCTTGCACTCACTTGTAGCCCAGGCTGGTCTCGAACTCGCAACGATCCTCCTGCCTCAGCCTCCCGAGTGCTGGGATTACACACGTGTGCCACCATGCCTGGCTGCCATGGCAGTTTCTACCCACTTGCTAGCGATGTGTTTGGGGCAAGTAACTTACCTTCTTCAGCGTAGCGTTTCCTCATCTGCAAATCAAGGCTGACACCACCACCCTCACCCAGGGTTGCTGCGTGTGTTCCAGCCAACCAAGGGTGGGATGGCCACCCAGAGGCTGAGTGAGAGAGCAAGGGCTAGGGGCTGCTGCCACCTAGAGGTCACAGCTGGCACAAGGCCAGTCCCCTACACCCCTACATCCTGCCACCAGGTGGATTAAGAGTAGGGGGCCGGATCACTTCGCTGGCTCAAACTGTCTCTCCCTGCAAAGCCCACCCAGAGTGGAGCCTGGCAAAGAAAGGAAGGAGGGTGGGAATTCTCACAGAGGCTGCCTCTGTCCTGACGCTGAACATGGGCATCGCATCTCAGTTGGCTTCTCTGCTTTCCCAGATGGGGACTGCCACACTCATGTCCCCATCCCTTCTGCACGATGTACCTTCCGACCAGAATCTGAGCCGAGGGCCATCTGCATGGGAGCGCTCTGGCTCCAGCCTCCTCCAGGTGACCCATCTGCACCCTGGCTCCTTGCTCTAGTGGGCTTCTCACTCACGATCCGTTTCGCCTGAGGAAGGTGAGGATGGGCCCTGTGACAGAGCCCAGGGAGAAGGGGCTGCCCACCAGGACCTGGATGCCCCGACCGTGCTCACCTTGGCTTTGTTTTCCATGGTCACGGCCAGTTCCACTCGCTTCCCCAAGCAGAATGTAGCCCCGTGGTCCTCTCCATCCTCATCCTCGGGCACCTCATTGGCTACTCCAGGTCCAAGAGGGCTCCTTACCCAGTTCCTGCTGACCACCCGCTTCTCCTACCACACAAGAAGCCCATTCTCTCAGGCCACATGGCCATGCTGGGCAGAGCTGGTGTAGGGTCCTCTGGGCGGGTCCCCAGACCTGGGTTCCAGCCTAGACCCTCCCTGGGATGCCCTCAGAGAAACTGGTAACTCACATGCCAGTGGCATTAGGGAACCCAGAGCCCAGGGCCACTTGGGGCCCCAAATGCCACAGTGGCCTGTCATCTCGAGCTGGGAACTCCAGGGCACCCAGACAGTGGGGCTCTGTTTCTCAGACTCTACCCCTGGCCTTCAGCCCTGTCTTCTCTGCCTGACACTTCCTGCAGTTTTTAGTCCCTGGGGTCTGGAGTGAGGGGCAGCCTGTGCTTCAGGGCATGGCTGCCAGGCTGGGAAAGGGTGCAAGGAGACTTCTACTCCGTGACCTTTCAGCTGTGGCCCTTTGAGGAGACAATAGTGTCTGGGTGGTGTAAGGCTCGGAGCTTGTGGGTGCGCCCTAGAACAGGGAATGAGAGAGGGGGCAGGGGCAGGTCCTCCCCCGTATAGGCTGGGCCCCCACCCTGCCACCCTGCACTATCTCCGGGGTGAAGCTTACGCCAGGAACCTGGCTGATGGTGACGGTGAGGCTGTCCGGTAGGAGGAGCCCTGGCGTGGTCACGGCCATGCCCCCCTGCTCCGCCTGCCGACGGTCTTCCTGGATCTCCTGTGGGAGGTTCCTGGGGTCAGCACAGGCCACGGCCAGCCAGACGCACAACATAGACGCTGACAGCCTACACAGAGACACCAGTGGAGCCCCCGGCAAGTGCCTGAGACTCCCAGCAAGGCTCTGAGAGGGGGCCATGCCCCCCCAACCTGGCCCCAGGCTGAGATGCGTCCCAAGCAGGCAGGTGTCTGCGAGTCCCCTGGTCAGCCCACACCCCACTGTGCCCAGCCGCTCACCTGGTACCTGCGTAGTAAGGCCTGGTTCTTCTTGCGCAGGGCGGTGATCCTGCGATCCAGCTCTGCATCCTTGTCCTCCTGCCTGCTCATCAGGGACTCGGCTCTGTGAGGCCCCTGCAGAGGGCAGGAACCCCAAACTCCTGACCACCCCCTCCCTTCCCAGTTTCCAAACTTCCTCTGCCGGCTAATTCTTAGCACTCAAGGAACTGGCCCCAGACGCCCAGGAAAGTCACACAAGAGGGAAGCGAGTTCCTCAGGAGATGGCTCATAGAAGTCCCCAGACCCCCACCCCAACAGGCCTATCTGCGTCTCTGCCTCCCAGGGCTTTGGGTCAGGGCCTCCTACCCAGGGCCACCGCTTCTAGCCGCCAGCTGCCCCTCCCCCAGCCCTCCAGGGAGCCCCACTGAGAGCAGAGCCTGGAATGGGAGTTATAAATGGCTCTGGCAGCAGAACCTGCCGTGACTGGGAAGCTGCCAGGGGATTCGGGAGGTCGGGGGAAGCTGTTTGGCTCCCAAATCCAGAACCATAGGAAAAGGAGAGGTTTCAAGTTGGTCTTGGGCTCTCAGGCCTGGACCCCACTCCCTGGCCTGCGTCTGGCCTGTAGGAAAGAGCTGCTCCCATGGGCCCAGCCCTCCCGGCCGAGCGGCCGCTGGCAGAAGGCAAGAAAGGCAGTTCTGTCGCACGGGGAGCCACCCGGGGCAAGACAGGTCTCGGCATCAAGTTCCAAGTCTTTCCCCGTCTGGTGCAGGGTCTCTGTCGCGCCAGTGTCTGCCCAGCCTTCCTCCTGCCTCGTCACAAACCTCTTCCTCCCAGGCCCAGTTGTCCCCAGCTGCCCCCAGACTGTAACTGTCCAGGACCTCAGCCCTCTCCCAGCCCCAAGAAGCCCCCCGCCAAAGGCGAGGTGCCACTCACAGCTGGGTACATGGCAACAGCGGGCACCGGAGAGAATTCCAGAGCAGCCCTGGGGGAGCCAGAGCAGGAGGGAAGCCGGAGCTGCCGGAGCCGGGCCTCTGCTGGCCTCTCCCTGCCGGCTTCGCTGCTCAGCACACGAGATCATGTTGTGATTACAAAAGACTCCTCTGGGCTCCCAGCCAGGAACGCTGTGCCGCCACCCCCACCCTTCCACTCACAGAGGGCGAGGACCAGGGCACCGGCAGCCAGCTGGTCCTGCTCAGCACCTCTCTCTGCCCTGCCCAGCGTCCCCAGGGATTTCTCCCTGGTGGGTCAAGCCCACACAGGAGGCCTGGCTGTCCTGGCCCTGCCTGAGGCCCGATGTACCAGCAGGACCTCTGCCTGGGGCTGCCTGCCTATTGTCTCTGCCCCACCCATCAGGCCCATGGTCTGAGGCCCCCACTTCAGGTGGCCTCCCTCTCCAGTTGGCTCTACCAGCACTAGTTTAAGGCAGTAGGGTTCAAGAAGCTCACCTCCAGCCACCACACATAACCTCATACCTAAAATACCATGTTAGTCACAAGTACTGTCTGCATCTGCCGGCACAGCCACTCTTAGGAGGCACCCTGTCTGGCTTCTGGCCCTCGGTATGCTAAGGCCCTCCCAGGCCCTTAGCATCAGCTCAGAGCTGCCGACAGCCTCGCTCCCATGGGCTCCTCATACCAGGCCCTTCCTGGTCTTGCTCTTCCCTTCTGGCCTCTGACCCAGAGGAAAGATGCAGCCCTTCGCAGGAAAGTCTCTCCCAAATCATCCTCACACAGCCGAGGCTGGTGCCCCTGCCCTGCGCAGCCAGCCCTATCCTGGGCCTCTCAGGCCCAAGGCTTGTACAAGGGAGCGTGGTGAGCGCTCCATTAGGGGGAGCCTGGGGTCTGCTTCAGTAGTTATGCGGCCTGGCCTTCCAAGCCCTGAAGTGTCAGGACCCGGGCATTCCCCACATCCCTGCCTGACCAGGCCTCAGTTTCCACATCCCCTCTGTCTGGAGCAGAAAGTCTCTCTGCCACTCTTTCTTCCCAAACCAGCCCACCTAGCCAGAGGCCCAGTCTCTGCTCCTCTGCTCCTCTGCTCCTCTTTTTCCTTCCCATCCTCTCCCGCTCCCCAGTCCACCCCACCAGGAGTAGCTCTTTCTCTCTCCAGGCCTTCACCCAGCCCCACCCCCACCCCTGCACCGCCAGAGTTCCCATCCTGCTGGAAATGCCACTGTGCTCTCTCCTCCTTTCCTGCCGGATGTTCCCACTGAGTCACACTCAGCTCCTTTCAGAGCGACAGTGACGCACCCAGGCTCCTTACCCTGGGCCAAACACACACATTCCCTCTCTTTCTTACACACACACACACACACACACACACACACACACACACACACGCTTCTTTTCTACTCTCTCAGCATCCTGCCCCACACAGGCTGCTAACTCCCAGCCACAGAAGCCTCGGAAGTCTCCAGGAGCCTCAAACTCCCCATCACCTGTGCCCCCTGCTGCTGGAGCAGGAAGCCCCTAGCCCTGGCCTGGGAGGGAGGGTGGGAGGGAGACTGGTGTCTGCCGTTCTTTTTGGACCTCAGGCCTCCAGGTCAAGTCTTGGGAGGAGAGATGTGGAGAGAGAAGGCTTCAGGGAAGAGGCGAGGTTTCTGTCCCCTGAGCCCCATTCCCAGCCAGGGTGGGGACAAGGGAGCAGTGAGGATCTGCAGACACAGCCATCGTGCGAGGAAGAGACCCAGCTCTTTTAGAAGCACCTGCAGGGACAAATGCCCCTGACCTGGAGGCAAAGGCTTCCTGGCCCATCAGGCTGGAGGCCCACGTGCGCAAGACAAGCCCACAGTCACACAGGGGACCTACAGTGGCTGGCCACGTGCCTCCAAGTGTTACTCACACAATATGTTGTGCCTCTGAGCAGCCCCCACATCTACCACCTTCTGCAGAATCTGCAGTTTGCCTGTCTGCCTCACCATTGGGCAGAGGCTTCTGAGGCAGGAATCAAGTGCCTCAGGATCAAATGCTTAGGAGCCCCAGGGCCTGGGGCAGTGACCCATGTAGGCTGCGGAGGCTCTGCCTGCAGAAGGAATCTGGAATCCACACTCTCCAGACCACTGCTGTGGGAATCCTGTGCACACCCTGTGCTGCCTTTCTGCCCCTTTTATCCCAGAATTCTCCCAGCTCCAAGAGAGCTGGTGCTTGGCAAAGGCCTCTAAGAGTGCTCTCTCCTTGCCCTGGGGAGAAATCCGCAGGAAGCCGAGGGAGGCGGGGACAAGGGCGATATTCCCGAGACCGCAGTGCTGTTACAGCATGCCACCACTAGAGGGCAGCAGTGTTACAGAGCCTGGTTTGAGTGCGGTAGAGTTTCTTCTCCCCCTTTTCCTCTCTAGCACCTCCCAAGTCTCGGTCACCCACACCGTCCAACTCCATCAGACCGGAGAAAACGTCTTTAGTTGATGAGGAAACGGGCCTAGAGGGGTGGCACGTTCTTCCTGGGAGGCACAGCTCTGTGTGTTGCAAATGAGACCCCGAAGCCAGGACACCCCTCTCCCTGCCCCCACCATGTAGACTTCTCTCTGTGCCCCGCCCGCCCAGGCTGGACCGTTTGTCCCAGCAGCTCAAGGCAGGGGCCTGGGCTGGCTCTTCCCTTCCCGGGCCACCTGCCAGCTCAGGCAACAGCCACCCCCTCCCCCGCGGGGGCGGAAGGTGTCTGGACCTCATCAGTGGTGTTTAGAAGAGACCTGGAGCCAACCCTGAGGACAACGTGACTTCCAACAGGCTTTCCTCTCAGCAGCAAGGGGGAGGGAGGAAGAGTGAAGTAGCACAGGTGGCCACTTAGTCACCATCTGCAGCATGGCTGAGCTCTCCCTGCTCCTCAGCCTTGTCCCAGGGTGAGGCAGGGTTGGGGTGGTGGGTTCTAGACCCTTCCCTCCTTACTGGTCATGATCTTCAACTCTCTGACCCTCCTCTGTGAAAAAGGTGCACATCCCCTGCTGGGTCATTTGGAGATAACACGGGTAACGTACAGCTCTGGAACAGAGGGTCCCCGATGGTGGCACACACCTGTAATCCCAGCGCTCAGGAGGCTGACGCAGGGAGTTTGGGGCCAGCCTAGACTACACAGCAAGGCCCTGACTCCAAAACAAAGTGTGGCTCAGATTAAGGCTTTCAACAGTTTTTTTGTTTTAGGTAACTTCACAGTAGCCACCTCCTGAGTATCGTTTGAGGGGCCCCCAAGGCTGGGGTTGGCTGGAGCACATCAAAGCCTTCTGGGTTAGAGGGAACATTTTGGTGGTAGAGGAGGTCCTGAGGCACCGCTCGGCATCCTCTCTGTGCCTCCCTTCATGTTTCCTGCCTGCGAACCCTACAAGCCCAGGTCCTACACCACCTCCTCCGAGGAGACCTCCCTGCCTGCCCCCTTCCCTGTGCCCTGTCCTCGATCAGGTCTCAGGCAGCACCGGCTCTCCTGGAAGTAGTCCTATGCAGCACCTGCCTCTGGCTTGGCTGGGCTGTCCCAGGCCCATGCCCCAGTGGTCAGATTGTACAGGTCACTGGTGTCACTTGCCAGCTCTAGGTAGGTGAGTGCTGAGGAAGAAGGTGGGCCAGGCTGGCTGCATGACCAGCCTCACCCACTGCTGGCCAGGCCACCCTCAGATGGGAGAAACAAGAGTGGCTTATGCACAGTGCTCCTTCCCTACACCCCTCCCCTGCCGTATGTCCCACTGTGGACATTCTTTTTTCGTTTTTTTTTTTTTTTTTTTTTGAGACAGGATCTCACAGTGTAGTTCAGGCCACTTGAACTCACTATGTAGCCCAGGCTGGCCTTGAACTTGTGACCATCAACCTGCCTCAGCCTCCTGAGTGCTGGGATTAGAGGGGTGTGACACCCTCCATGCCCAGCCACATTCTTATCTCTATGACCAGAAGTTGGCCAGGCCAGGCCTGGCCCTGGGTAGGGAGACTTGTATGCATGAGGTAGGGCTGGTCAGGCTGCCAGGCCAAAGTCTGGGCCCCACCTTCCAAGAACACACACACCAGGGCAGGGTGGCATCTGCAGTGAGGAGGCAGGCTGGCTGGGACTCATCCCACTGTGTCCTCCAGGACACACCCAAGTCAGGGTACCATGTGCTCCCCAGCCTGGCCCCACAAAGGCAGGACAGCCTGGTGTGGAACTGAACCCCTTGGTCCCAGTGCTTAGGCCTCTGTTCTCCATGCAAGGCTGCAAAGGGGACTCACAGTCCTTTCCAGAACTCTGACCTCGACCACAGCCCAGAGCTGCCCAGGCAGAGGCTCAGTGCTGCCCCATCAGGACTTGTCCCAGAGTGCTATGAGCAGGGGCCTGCTGCGTGCTTCCTGTGGCTGCGTGACAGAGCTGGGCGGGCAGCGGTGGGGAAGTGATGGTGGCTTGACCTGCAAGGCACTTCAGATCCAGAGGGTCCAGACCTGACTGGGAGTCACTGGGGACAACTAGAGTAAATGTGGGGGGAGGTTCAGCAGCTGGGGCTGATGAGGCCACAGAAGGGTTTGAGAAGCTAAAGCCAGAAAGATTCCACTGGGTTGCTTGGAGGACAGCTGGAGGCACTTAGGAACCTGCATCCAGATGCTGGAGGGGTCTACTGGCCAGGCAGGGAATGGGGGGGGCAGGGAGGAGTGAGCAGGGGTCCTCAGAGCCTCACCATGGCTTCACACAGACACAGAGCCAAGGCAGAAGCAAGGCTTTGGCCTGGGGGCCCTCACGAAGTAGAGGGCAGTAGCCCTGGTGTGCGCGTTCCTAGGGCTCTCCTGCCTCCAGAGGAAGGAAAACATCAGGACAGGCTGAAGCTGGAAGGCCAGGAGAGATGGACAGACCCTACCTGCGCCCAAGGCTTGTCCAGGAGGAAAAGGTCTGTGCAGTTTTGAGGGGTGGGAGAAGGAAGGAAGCCCACCAGAAGGTGGAGGGATGTGTGTGAGAGGCTGGAGGGGAGTGTGGTCAGACTGGCTATGGCTGGGGACTTTCCCCCAGCCTGGAGGCTCTAGGCAAGAGAAAGTACACACCAAAACACCAAGCCTGAGATGGCACGGTCACTGTCTCCACTGGAGCGAGGAGACAGCCTGAGGGTAGGGAGGGAAGTAGAGTAGCCAGCTGTCCTCGTGGGCACAGATCTATCCCAATTTTAGCACTGAGAGGCCGGCCTGGGAATATATTTGTCCTCAGGACACCTGGATATGCCGGGGTCAGGGTCTTCTGGAAGGTTGAGGCCTGGAGGGCACCTCTCAGGGGCTGTCATGAAATGCTTCAAGGGATGGCAGAGGCCAAAGCTGGTGACACTCCTAGGAGGCAGGTGCACGGGAAGGGAGGATGGAGCAGCAAGTCACATAGGCCATTGATGCTTCTGTGACAGCAGGACACCTGGACTTACAGCTGCCCGAACAAGGCCCTAACTCCTGTGATCTCTTGTGAACTCTTAAGGTTCTGGAATGTGTGACTTAACCGGGGTAGGTGCTGTTGGCTCCTCGGTGGAGATCAGGGTCAGTGCCCTGCCCAGGGGCTCCTGGGCGTGGGGCCCTACACCTAAGTCATAGAAGGCCCACTACACCTAAGTCATAGAAGTCAATGGCCCATCCCTGCAGCACTCTCTCCTGCCTCACCCAGGGTGGGCACCTCTGCCTTCATGCAGTGAGAAACCTGTCCTCCAAACCAAGAAGTCTCCGAGAATCCAGCCTCCTGGTCACCCTGCAGGGAAACCCAGGAGCAATAGCCTTGCTGGTTCTGCTGAAAAGCACGGGGAGTCACAGGGTGGGCCAGTGTCCTGTCTTCGGGCCTTCGCTGCTGGTCCTCACCCTCCCAAAGATCCCCACCAATGGCCTCCCCTGCCCCCGGAGACCCCCTTCAGCCTCTTCCTGTCTGCCCCCCATTCTGGCTCCTCACCCCAGAAATGGCTCCTCTGGCTCCTTTTGTTCTCCACTCTATGGCTTTCAGGCAGGCAGGTGCCGCCTCTCAGCTGGCACTAAGACCAAACACTCGGTGAGAGCTTACTCTCCGTAAGGCATAGGGCTGGAAGGCAGAGGACACACACACATGGCTGGAGCTCTGCTGGCATGAAAAACCTTAGGGCTGGGGAGCAGAAAGAGGCCCTGAATGTACGGGACAGACCCTCCTATAGGTCGAGTCCACAGTGCCCACCACTGCTATCCTCCTTGCCTCCTTCAGGCTTCCTGGTTCCCCATGCCTCTCAGACTGCCCTGTCTTCTCTTCCACCCAGTCGAGGCAGGAGCTGCCTCCTCCACCGAAGACCTTAGTACCTCCCACTGACCCAGACCAGCAGCTCAGATCCTGCCTCCAGAGCATTGCCCGCCCTTCCACCTGGGCATCCATAGGACACAGGCCTCTCAGTTCTCTGCCCAGGCTGGGGCTAGGGGTGGGGAAGTTGAGGCATAGGGGGAAAGGATTCTTGCAAGAAGAGAGCTGGAAGGGTCAGGATGTTGATGGACATGGGAAATACCATACACCCTGTGTGGGCAGGAGCCCCGGGAGCACCACACCCTCATAAACCTGCCCCTCCTCAGCAGCCCACCCGCCATTCCCGCCCCACTCCCCAGTGAATGGCAGCTGCTGTGTGCAGAACACAGTCACAGCTCCCCGCCTAGTCATAAACCAAAGTCCTCTGCCCGCCCGGGATGTTACCATGGCAGGCTGGTGTTTTTCAGAACAGCATTCCTAAAAGGGGAGAGACCTAACACTAAGGAGGGAGGGCCCAGGCTCTCCGGACTCTCTAGAGAGTCTCCGCTCAGAACTGACTGCAATTGGCTGGGCGACCTCAGGGAAGTTTCTAACGTCTCTGGTTTTTCTTTGTAACCTGCCAAAGAGGGGAAGATTAGAGCACCTCCAAGAGCTGAACCATGGCCAGCAATACTGTAGAAGAACCTGACACACACAGGTTTTCCCTCCCACCACCGAGATAAAGAAGAACCACTCTGCTCCTCTCCACTTTTCAAGTTGTTTTCTAACTGCAGTTATGCTGCTTTTGATTTTACAGCTCTAATTGAGGTCAAATTGATGTGCTATAAACTGTGCATATTTAAACTGTGCAGTTTAGGCCCGGCGGGCGGGGAGGCACACACAGCTGTAATCCCCGCACTCTGGGAGGCTCAAGCAGGAAGATCACAAATTTGAACCTAATCTGGGCAATTTAGCAATTTAGTGAAACCCTGTCTCTGAATAAAAAAATACAAAAAGGTCTGAGGATATAGCTCAATCCAAAAGCCCTCGGCTCAATCCTAGTACCACAAAAACGAATAAACAAATGAACAAAGTGTGCAGCTTGATGTTTTGCCATATGTACACTCCATAAAACCATCTTCACAGTTGAGAACATTGATACAACCATCAACCCCAAGCTGTCTCCATGTCCCTTTCTAGTATCTCCTCCCACTCCCTCCCTTTCCACCTTATTCCCAGGCAAATACCCATCTGAGATCATTATTAATTAGTTTACATTTTCTAGAGTTTTATAGACAAAGTCTACAGAATGTATTCTTTGTGTTTGGCTTATTTCATCCAGTGTAGTTATTCTGCAATTCTGTCACATGGTATGTTCCTTCCTATTATTGGATAACATCCATTGAATACATATATCACATGTATGTGGTATTTATCTGTTCGCTTAGTGATGAACATTTGAAAAATTCCATCATTAGCTATTCCATAAGCTACTATGAGCATTCAGTACAATTCTTCATGAGGACGTACGTTTTCATTTCTCCTGAGTATACAGTATGTATTACTTTTTCTTTTTCTTTTTTGAAGCACTGGGGGGACAAACCCACGGCCTTGCACATGCTAGGCAAGCGCTCTATCACTGAGCTACATTCCCAACTGTTACTTTTTAAGAAATGAAGTGACCACAGTTTAAGTGCAGTCAGTCCATGAAGCTCATAACAGGCAAACCTAGGGGCTGGGGATTTAGCTCAGCGGCAAAAGCGCCTGCCTGGCAAGTGCAAGGTCGTGAGTTAGGTTCCCGGTACTGGAGAAAAAACAAAACAAACAAACAAAAAAAAAACAGGCAAACCTGGAAAGAAGGGCTGCTTTAGCTTGCCTGCTCCTGATTTCATGTGATTCCCATCCTCCCTGATCGACATGGGGCCAACCAAGCCCTTTTGCCTCGCTGAGGAGGGAGTCTTTGACATCTTCAATTTTGCACATCATTGTAGGGTCAGGGAGAGCCACTTCCTTCTAAATATATAAACAACAGAGAAAAAATAAGTACACATATGCATCACAGAAAAGCAAGCCAGTTATTGCCCAACTATACTAATTCCAGCCCTTCATTCATTCACCAAATATTTCTTGGGCACTTGCTAATGTCAGAAGAACTCCGAAGGGCCAGTCCCTGGGAGAGCCACCACAGGCCCTCCATTCGAGGAGCATGGCGGCCAATGAAAGCAAGAGACAGCAGAAGAGAGGGGCCAGGGAGCTGGGGTGCTCATTGCAGGGGCCCCTTGTCTGTGCGGAGGACACCAAGCAACAGCTGTGGCACAGAAGATCAAGGGGCTTGAGAGTGCTGAGAAAACTAAAAAAAACCCCTGGGTCCTTCCTCTGTCATCAGGACTCCATCCTGAGTGTGAGATTTCCTTTCCCAGGATGGTTCCCGGGGCTGGGCAGCACCTTTGAAAACTCGGGCCTGGACCAGAATCAAGACAAGGCGTGCACTAGGCCTTCTGCTACAGCCGCCATTTTCTCCATCCTGACTCATCTGAAGGAGTCACTGGGTTCACTACTACGTATGAAGGATTTGGGTAGGGCCTGGCACTTAGTGGGAGCTCTATAAATGTTTAAAGCCAGCCCCTGGTGCCGAACACCTTTACCAGGGCTGGAGCCCAGTTTGGGTCCGTGCCATCTCATTACCAGACCAATATGGTAATGGAGTGCTCCTCCCTCTGCTCGCCCTGCAAACACAACACATCCTGCTTATAGTTGATCTTTGCCCCGATGTTACTCATAAGCCCATCCCTCCTCATTTCCCTGCACCCTCTGTCCTCCTGGCGGTGCATCTGATCCACCCCAGCCCCTCATTCTATACAAATACACCTGAGGGCACACAGAGCCTCAGACTTCCTGCCCCTGCCGTGCACTCTCAGGTAAGACCCTGGCTTGGCTTGCTGTGGGTGGGAGCAGGAAGATCTCTGTGGTCCCTCTGAATGCGTGTAAGTGTATGCAAGTGTGTGTGCATCACACGGGTACGTGTGAGGTCTGTCTCACAGGGGTGTCTAGTTTTGGTCAGTGTGTGTCTGAGGACCATGTGGCTGTGTTTCTGTGCTCATGTCTGCCAATCTGCCCTGTCCACCTCCTGTGCTGGGACCCTGTACCTCCATTCTCTACTTAAATTATAGTCAACTTACAGCCTCTGCCATGCCAGGTGGAATGGTACAGCGGAGGGCTAGAGGACTGCATTCTGTGCCTTCCAGAGCTGCTCCATGGTCCCCCAAAGAGCTGAGCCTGAATTTGGAAAACATATTCCATACACTTCTTCTAACCTATATCCCGACCAGCCCTAAGGCTTTCCCTTACCTCTCTCCCCCAAGTCGAGCCCAATGGTCTCTTCCAGCCACATCACTAAGAGGAAGGATGAAGGAGCAAAAAGCACCATGGGCCTAGTTCAGAGGCTCGCTTGAACTGAATGTGGCACAAGTAGAAGCTAGGAAAGGAGTGCTCAGTGGGGCTGGAAGTGAAGCTCTGGGTAGGGCGCCTGCTTTGGGTGTGCAAGGCCCTGTGTCCCATCTCCAGCACCAAGAAAACAAGAGTGGCTCAGAGGTGCAGGGCACTATCTTGTCTACCTGGCAAAGGGCCAGGGCTGTTGTCGCACTGGGTGTTGCTCATGTGCTCAGCAACCCTATGAGTACCAGAGAGCCCTGATGCCAGGTTTTGGTCCTTATGTGTACTGTCTGCTTTGGGGCCATTTGGGTGTTGTCTGTCGTGACTTGCACGCCAGCCCCAAATAAGAAGTGACTGGGACTCGGCAGCTGATGAGAATGCTGGTGAAGGACAAATTGACTCAGATCACCAACTTCCACCCTCTTCTGGTCCTGGTGGGAGGTGATAACAGGCAGCTCCAACCCTGGAAGGCTTTCTATTCACCTCTGCTGCAGGGCCAAAGACATGGGTCTTCCGGATGCCGCAGAAGCCCCTTTCCATCAGCCCATCCTGCTCTGCCCTGCTCTGAGTATACTTTATCTCTCTAAGCCTCCCTCTCCCACTCCTAAGCCAGGTGTTTTTCCCAAGGACCTCTAGGGAAAGGGGTACTGTGACCTGGCACATGGCAGGCATGCAACATGAATAATGAATATGATTGAAATCGACCCCTACAGAATTGAATTAACATACTCATGAGCCTGCAGGTGAATCTGGGCATGGGGCAATTGTAAAGGATCCAGGGTCCAGGGTGACACCCAGAAGCCAGTGCAACTCTTGTGTCTGTTGTCTCCCCAAGTGGGTGAAACCCCTGCACCCATTAACACCTGTGCCGGCACCCAGAGTGCCAATTCCACACTAGGTGCCAAGCTAGAGCCATGCACCCTTTGAAGGGGCTGTGTGTATGCCTGGAAGGGGACGAGGAAGGAGACAGGCTGAGAGCACCAGAAACTAAAACTCTGTTGATTCACAGGTGTTCCTGTGTCACCTCCTGCTCCTGCCCGACAAAGATGCACCCAGGTAAGCAGCACAGCTGGGAGGCTCTGGGTGAGAGGAGGAAGAGGGCTGAAGGCACGGGGCAAACTGTCAGCCATATCCACCGTATGCCAAAGACATACGGGCCTGGCAGTAGGGCTCTGTAATATAAACGAGCCCTTACATTCCGCAGAACCTTTACAGCTTAAGACACATGTTCATACAGCCTTCATCTGCTGGATGGCCCACCTTAGGAGAAAAACAGGCAGCTGCTTCTCGCCTTGTACCTGAGGCCCAGGGAAGTCAGGGTCATGCTAAGGGTGAGGCCACTAAAGCAGCGCCAGGTCTAAAGCCCTGGCAGCCATGGTGTTGGCTACCTTCAAAGGGCATGAAAGAAACGCACCAAGAAGCTGTACTTCAGACCACACAGGTGGCTACTGCGGGAGTCCACTGGGCCCACAGGGACCTCCAGGGAAAGGCTGCGTGGCCAGGCCAAGTGGATTTCCAGCAGGAAGCAAGGCAGAGTGGAGCTGGAGAAATTATAAGTGCCAAGAGGCAGGAGTGGGACCAGAAGGTTGTGAGCAAGGAGCCAACAAGAGGCTCTGAGGGGCTGAGGAAAGACTGGGCTGAGACACGGGGGACACGAGGGAATCAAGGGAGAGACTGGGTGGCAGACGAAGGACTGGGGATTGCTGCAGTGGAGTGCGGTCAGACGGCAGACAGCTGCCAGGGCTCAGACAAACACCCAGGCCTCGGGCCAGGCCCCACACCACAGGGAGCACTGTGCCAGCTCTTGAGCACACAGGATGCAGCACTGAATTTCGTATTGACTTTCAATATGAATCTGCTGTTGGGTGACAAATGAAGGAATGGCTGTCAAGGCAAGTGACCAGCTCTGAAGAGCCTTGTTATGGGTGGGGATGTGGACACAGAACTGCTGCGACCAAATGACCAAAGCTACTTCTTCTTTCTCTCCCACAGGTCATAAGGTGAGACAGTTCCCCCAGCCCTCTCCCCTTCTTCCTCCCAAATGCCATGTTCTCCAAACCTCCCACCTCCTTCCTAGACGCCCCTCCCCCACCGTTCCCTCAAAAGAAAAGTCAAGAGCAGGATTAGGCAGCAGCCTTGTGAGGTGGGGCATCAAGGCAGTCATCCAGCCCCTGCCCGCCGCAGCCCTCTCCTTGGCTTCTCTCCTCTGTTTTCCCATCTGTCTCTCTCCTTCCTTCACTTCCCCTCCCTGCTCCAGCAGCCCGTCCTCTCTCCTGCTGCTTCCCCACCTGTTCTGTTCCTCTGCTTTCCTGGCGGCTACCCCCACAGCCTTGCTGGATGGCTGGCTTGCTCCCAAGTCCTAACCATACTGCCGGGCCCCTAGGACAGCTCCCACCATGGAAGGGCGCCCTCCTCCCCATCAGCTACCACACCCCACTGGCTCTGGGCCTCCCCACAAATAGAGGCATAAGAGAGGCCGAAAGTGGCTGGATGGGGCAGGGACTGGTCTGTCATGGATCAAGCCTGAGATCCATGTCTTCCCCACTTGCACCAAGCCCTAATGGAGACCTAGGACACAAAGCACAGTGGGAAGCTATCCTGGGCCCAGGATACTCCAGGGTGTCTCCCTTTCCCTGGGCCTGTGGCAAGAGATAAGAAACTCCCTTGCTTTTGGAGCTTTAGGACTGGTTCTAGCCAAGACAGGTTAAGTGTATATTTCCTAGGCCTCTTCTCACTGAGGGGTAAAACTTGGACTTTATTTTCTGTTCTTCCTGATTCCTTGGGTCTGGCACCTGCTGGAGGGAAGAACAGGCTCACAACACACCCATCATCATATATATATAACCAAGCATGTGTATGAGTACACAGCAAGTGTTTACAGGCATCCACCCATGTGCAGGTACTCAAACACAGCCATTTGTATATAAATGCACACACATCATGTATGTACAAATGCACCTAGTAACATCACAGGGAACACGCCCTCTTTGCTTTCTACCTCCTACCCATGGTCTCCTCCAGACTGGCCTAGCATTGCCCCTGGCCCTGGCCCTCAAGGAGCTCCTTTCCCAGCCTCATTCCTTTTCCTAAGTTCACTGAGCCTGCAGTTCTAGCATGGCAAAGCTTCTAATCACTCTGCAAGAGTTCCTGGATGAGAAAAGGGAACAAATAATTCTGCTTCTTAATTACAGATAAACTGGGGTCCAGAGACGAAAAGTCCTGGCTTAGCTCAAGGAATTGGACACATAAATCGAGATTCCTCCCCTTCTGTCTGCTCAGTGCTCAAGTGGCTTCATCAGGGCAAAAGGCCCAGAGCCAACAGCAGTCCCTTGCTACCCCTTCCCCTGCATTTGCTACCCCAGCCCTTCACTACAACCCCGCACTGGTGCCCAAGACTCCTAAGTCTTCTGCGGTGGTGGGGTGAAGAGGAGTTGGTTGCAGGTGAAATTGGCATTGACTTCAGACTGATATTGCTCATTTTGCTTTCCACAGGGGCACTGCCATGGTGGTCCACCTTCACCTCACCCTCCTGGTCATGGGCACCCTCCTGGTCATGGGCACCCCCATGGTCATGGGCACCCTCCAGGTCATGGGCACCCCCCTGGTCATGGGCACCCTCCAGGTCATGGGCACCCCCCTGGTCATGGTCCAGGACACTGTCCTGGACCAATGCACCCGCCAGGACCTGGTGGACCACACCATGGCCATGGCCATGGCCATGGCCCAGGGCACCCCCATGGTCCACATCATTGAGGAATAAGAAGAAAACAAGACACTAGAAAAGCCTGAGCGGGCTGCCCTGCTAACTTGCCATGGAACCTGAACCAACATCTTCTCTTCCTAATAAACAGCTTCCTGGAAGCTGTGTTCTATTCTAAGAGTCTGTCTTCTTTCGCACTCAACTCAGGGACCCATTTACCTCTGAGTTCCTCTGCTATGAAAATAAAGCATCCAGCCTGGCATTCTCAGAAACTTGGCTCGGTGGTACCCAAAGCGTGTGACTAGATAAGGCCACCCTCCTCATTTCTGCCTCTCCCATCAAAAGGCCCCAAATGAAGTCCAGTCACCTCTTCCCCATCCTATGCACCCTCAGATCTGGTAGCCCTTCTGAGGTTCCAGCTTGCACACTTCATTCTGCACATCCAAAGATGTCAGTGGCTCCCTACCACTTACAGGGATTTCTCAACCATCCCCTGAAAATATACTGATGTTTCCATCCTCCTTAATTTAGGTTACAGCGCTCCGTCTTCTGCTTTAGGCTAGGAATACCTTCTCTTTACCACCTCCCCATTTTCAAAGCCTCGACACCTCCAGGCCTGAAGGCTATCAGGAAGAGTGGTCTTTCCTCTCTGTCCACTGTGCCTTCTCTGCCACAAGCTGCACCCAAGATAGTATCAATCGCCCTCAAAAGCCTCATCTCACCCTGCCCAGATGGCACCAATTTACGGACTATTTCTTTATCTCTCCAAACCAAACTGTAAGCTACTCAGGGCACTTCTTTACCTCTGGGTTTCCCGACCTCGTCCCTATGAGCTATGCCTTGCACTGAAGGGATATCTACAGTCCAAACCTTCTTAGTGCTGACTCCCTAGTCCTGTTTTCAGCCAAGGCACCTCCATGCCTGCGCAGCCACACCCTGAACAGCCTGCAGTCTGCGCGTCCAAACCCCACATCCGGGACACTCCACTCCCAGCTCCCAGGCTTCTCACAAGGCTGATATTTATTCCAGCTCCGGGCAGCCCTCTGGACAGGCCGGTCTGTGGCCCGTCTCTCCCGAAGCGCTGTGCTGTCCTCGCCCTCACAGCTGTTCCCTGAAGGCAGAGCCAGCAGGTGTCCTGCAGTGCGCGGCGCGCAGGTCCCTCCCAGGCTTGCGTGGGAGCGGTGGCTCGGGGACAAGGGCTGGGCCTCCCCCGCCCCGCGTCCTCCTCTCCCTCCCGCCTCCTGTTATTGCGCACTTCAATAACCCAGCGGCGGCTCCACCGCGGAGCGGCGCAGACCCAGGACAAACGCACAAAAAGAAAAGACCCATTTTGAACAGATACCCAACACCCCTGGGGAGGAGAGGAGGGCGCTAAGAGGAGCTAAGAGAACTGCGGAAGCCAGAGCGCCCAGCGTCACCTGCCCTGCGCGCCCCACACCCTCAGCCATACTGACAGAGAGCCGCCGGCCCAGTGCGGCGGCGCCGCGGGAAGCTTCTGGCCCCGCCCACCACGGCCTCGCGGTCATTGGCTGGACTTCCCAACGGCCCCGCCCAGCGACAGGCCGCTGGCGATGACGCATGCGCATAAGCCCGTCGCCGCCACTGCTTCAGCACCAGAGCTCGGACAGCGGCGCCGCCCACGGGTATGGACGGTGGTAGTAGCCGCAGCTGCTGCAGCAATCCGTCTTCTGGCCCACGTCCGCAAGGAGAGCTGCGGCCCAAGAGTGATCTTTTAGGCCTAAACGGCAGCTCCCCAGGCAGGTAGGGAGGACCTCACCGCAGAGCCGGTTCGAAGATCTTCTCAGGACCCCTGCTCCAGGTATCCTCAATGATCGCCATCTGTCATCCCATTCATCCCCACCCCTTCCCAGACCCCTTTCCCTGGAGGGGTGGTGGGGATGGTCAGGAAGCCCTCATCCTGCCAGGGTAATTTTCTTGCTCCCTGTCACCCCCTAGTTTTAACTCCCCCCACCCCGTCGCCCTCGCCGCTTGGAGACCTGCCCCACCCCCTATTCCTACCTTTCCTCTAGGACTGCGGTTTCCCCCTTCCCTGGCCTCACGAGCCTCTCCCTGTAGCCCTGCCTCTGCGTCTTCGCAGAAGGCCCCAGACCGCAGCGACGTCAGTCTGGGCCACCATGTCAGTGTGCAAGGGGGTGCGCATGGACCATAGACCAAGGCGGATGTCCGGGGAGGCAGTCATTCAGCAGCTATATCAGGACTGTCTTTGTCCATCACCATCGTTGCTTGCCTTCCCATCACCATCGTTTGCTTGTCTGCTCTGCATGGTCCCGGTTGTGCACGTATTGGTTTGAGTCCGACTGGCAGCCACTGGCATTCACTGGAGCAGCTATCACCGGAAGGCTGTGAGGCTCAGCAGAGGTCTGGATGACCCCTGAAAGAGCCTCAGGCTGGTAAAACAGACAGGAAAAACACCTTCCTCCTGAGGGCCCATCTCCAGATCCGGGTGCCTGTCCCCTTCCTTCCACCATATGTGTGACGAACAGCCCAGCCAGGTAGCAAGATGGCGCAATTTCTGTGCCCTGTCTGGCTCTGCTGCCTCCCGAATCTCTCCCCTGACACTGTCTCTCTGTTCTGCCTGAGCTGAAAGAAAATACATTCTTTAAGGCAAAAAAGCAGAGATGGACACATTATTTCTAGATCTTCCCAGTTAAAATGTATATTTTGTACCTCGGAGGGAAGAGAAAGACCCACAAGTACAAATGTTTTCTTCCATCTATTGTTAATACACCAGTCTGGAAGGCACAGAATCTTCTTATTCAAGAGGATGTAACACAAGATGGGTATGTTCTCCACACCAGGTGCCTAACAGAAACTACAGCTTAACTAAAAGACAGGGCACAGTAGGGGCCTGGAGTTAGGGACATCTGCAGAAGGAGCTGGGGAGTCATTTTCTGTCTGGCGTATCTTGCCAAGCATCAGCCCTGTCTGGTCTACTCATTCCCCCTGGGCATGGGAACCACTTGTTCTGTTCTAGCAGTTTCCTGGGAACTCTGGCCTCTCTCCGTCCTTCCATCCAAAGATCATGGATATTATGCAGGCTTAGCAACTACATAATCAGTTCAATTCAAGGAATACAGATATGCTCCTGCTGAGTTAAGTACCACTCTGGGAATATATATCCAGTGAATAAAATGAGAGGTGAGATGAGATGAGATGAGATGAGATAGTGAGAGAGAGACAGAGAGAGAGAGATAGAGAGAGAGAGAAGGGGAGGGGGGAGAGAGATGGAAAAAGACAGAGGGGGAGAGAGAGAGGGAGGGAGAGGGAGAGAGAGAAACAGAGAGAAAGAGAGAGAGAGAAAGACAGAGGGAGGAGAGAGAAAGAGAGAGAGAATCTCTTTTCTGTTTTCTTATATGGGGGATCAAACCCAGGGCCCCCACATATAAAGTACATGCCCTCTACCACAGAGATACATCTCCAGCTTATGCCCACCCCAAGTGTACTTTCTTGTTTGAGTTGCCAAGGATGGCCTCAAACTCCTGGGCTCACACAATACTCTTGCCTCAGTCTCCCCAGGAGCTGGAGTTACAGGCACACACCACTGTACCTAGCCACTCCATCATCTTGTACAAGTGTACTGACTACAGAGAAACTTGAAACAGTTAATCCTTTTTTTCAGTATTGAACCATAGGACCATTCCCCGCCCCTCTTTAAAGACAGAGTCTCACTAAGCCACTACACCCTGTCTTTAAAAAGGGGGGTGGGGTGGGCCTATGGTTCAATACTGAAAAAAGGATTAACCATTTCAAGTTTCTCTGTAATGAGAGTTGCCCCAGGCTGGGGTCAAACATCAAATCATTTTGCCGCAGTGTCCCAGAGTGCTGGGATTATTGACATGTGCTACCACACCCAGATAAAACAGTTAATTCTGTATTTTTAAAATTACCTATTTTTATAATAGTATGAGCTGTTCCCCATCTGTCCTGGCCACTCTGTGGGATCATACGGATGTCCAGATGACTGGGATTTATGGACGTGGGGGGCAGGGTTACTAGACATATGCACTTCTGGGACTCCCAAGTTTGGGCTCTGTGTCTGTGACCCCGTCAGCCAGGCCCTGGTTACAGGGATGTTGGCCTCCTGTGAGCCCAGGGTCACCACTTTCCATCGTCCTCCTTGCCTGCCTGCCTCCGTCACTTACAGGCCAGTGGGCATCCCTGGAAGTCACTCATCCTCGAAGGGTCATAAAACTGAGAGGGCGAGAACAAAACCCTGCTGGGCAACCAAGGACTGACAAGCTTATCTCTTAACCGGATCTCCTAAGAGCAGAGGGCAGCATAGGCCTGGCCCGAAAAACATTTTTATTCTGGAAAGAGTGGAGATTGCTCTTTCCATTGGGAGAATTGAGACAAAGACCCAGCTTTACAGCAGTCAGGATGCGGGGGGAGGGGGCTGTCATGAAATTCTGCCACTCTGGTAAAGGCAGGAAAGACAAGATGGGAAGAAGCTGGTCCTGGATCCCTGGAGAGGAACAGAAGGGGCTAAAGGTCAGAAGTGAAGCCAGGCAGACCGGACAGAAGCAAACCAATGGGTGAAGCCACATCCTTTTATTTATTTATTTTGTTTGTTTTCTGAGAGAGGGTCTCGCTATATAGCACAGGTTGGCCTCAAACTTGTGGTCATCCTCCTGCCTCAGCCTTCCAAGTGCTGGGATTACAGGTATCCATCACCATGCCTGGCTCATCAAATCCCTTTGGAACCAACTAAGACTGGGCAGAAGTATAGGAGGGTAGCAGGGAGGGGCTCCCACTTTCCTCGGGCACCCCTGGTGTGTTGGTCTCCCCTGATGCCACTGACACCTCAAGTGGGGGCCTGGATCTTAGGATAAGCCGAGTGTCCAGTGCTCTAAGAACTCATAATGGAATGGCTGCAGTGGACCTCTCGCCTCCACCCTGCTGCCCCTGAAGACCATGGTTGATGGATCTTTGTCATGCCTTCAGGACCCACCCAGACTGAGCAAAGTCTAAGCACATGACAACTGCTCAAAATAAAATAAAATAAAAGTAGATGTCCTCACTTCTACATACAACCAGGCCATTCACCCAGCTTCTCTTGGCCCAAAGAGATTGGCCTTCAGGGGCATTTCAGCTGTCAGAACACTGGTTGCTTAAGTCATTAGCTTTATGGAGTCATCTGAGGTCTTGCTTTAGAACAAATTTGGTCTAATACTTAATTTTCTAAATGTTCAGTTAGTAAAAACAATTTCAATCATGAGCTCAAATTTCAATGCAGCTTTTAGATGACAGAAGTATTTATAACTATATATACAGTGAGATTCTCAAGGTATAAGTTCTGAATTGGAGCTATTACCTGAGGGGCCCAAAGAGGACAAACTGTAAGTACAAACACACGTTTTAAAGCACATGCTCCCTGTAGTAGTGAGTGTGAATAAGAGCAGGAAAGCAAATGTGTCTCCCAGATGCCAAGCTCTTTGCCAGGCACTTCACATATTTTACATCACTCACTGTATGTATCAAAACTGAGGTGAGTCTGGCATGGTGCACATGCCTGTAATCCCCGCTATTGGGGAAGCTGAGGCAGGAGTATCACAAGTTCAAGGTCAGCCTGGGCAACTTAGCAAGATCCTGGCTCACTAGTAAAAGAATATAGAGTGTTGAGGATATAACATTGCCTGGGTTCAATCCTCTGGAGAGAGAGAGAGAGACAGAGAGACAGAGAGAAGGAGAGACATAGACAAAGATGGAGAGATGGAGATACAGGAGAAAGAGACAGAGAGGGAATAAACAACAAACAAAAACTGTGAGAGGTGGGCTAGGCACACACCTATCAACTCAGCACTCAAGAGGCTAAGGCTATGTAGTGAGACCCTGTCTCAAAATCCATCAACAAAAAAACAAAAAAACAAAAAACAAAAAACTTATGAGTGGTACACTTTGTCATCATATCTACAATAGACAAGGATCCCACTGATCCAATATTGTTAGACTTTCCTGAAGCCTAAAAGGTGACAGAGCGAAAAGGTGATGGAGCTAGGAGCCCCCTTGACTGCTCCCCAATTTTACCCTCAACATTAGGGTCACTCTCCCAGACACCTGGCCCAGCTGGCCATCCTCTGGAAGGAGACACCAAGTCTACCTGTCTTTTCCGGGTCCTCTGCTTGGTCTGAGGGCAAAACTCAGCCTGCATGGATAATGCCGGCCTGCCTCTGTGACCAGGCCTCTGCTGGCCCATGGCCCTCAGCGGTACACCAAGTAGGACAGAAGCCAAGGCTGGCTGCACATTGACCTTGCTCTCCCACAGGGCCTGGGCCAGTTCTGGAGGGCTGCGAAGGCATGGAAGACAGGGCTGTGCCAGGTGCCCAGCCTCAGCAGTCTGTACTTGGTCATCTTTTCCTGCCCACGGAGTGGGACTGGACCCAAGAGCAGGGCTAGGTCTGTGCAGGGTACTGCTCTGAGGAATAATTCTGGGAGAGGAATCTATTACTGACTCGTGCCTGTGCATACCCGTGAAACAAAGCTGCTCCACACATGGCCCATGACAGGGGTTTTCTTTCTCAATAAACCAACATCTCAGACCAACCGCATCTCCCAACTACAGCAAGTACTGCAGGGCAAGCACTGGGTCTGTTCATCCCAGCGATCTTAGACTCTTAGCATCAGCCTAGCACTGTGTGCACTCAATCAGCAGACTTCTCCTGGCTGCCTTCTGTGTGCGAGGCACCATTTGAGTCACTGGGAATACAGAGATGAGCAACACACCAGGCCCCTGCTTTCCTAGCCCTCCCATTCCACACAAGAGACACAGTGCTTTACTATCCAGTTCCAAAAAATGCTATGAAGGATTTAGCAGGGTAATAGAATAAACAGCTGGTGAGTGATTCCAGAAAAAGTAGTCAGCAAAGGAAGACTTCTCTGAGAAGTAAAAGCTAAATAGAAATCAGAGTTTTAAACACACACACACACACACACACACACACACACACACACACACCCCAGGCATTTATCTGGGGGAAGATCAACCAAGCAGAGGGAAGAGAACAACCAAGGGCTCTAAGATGGGAACAGGGCAGCAGGTGTTTAACAATGTCTGTCAAGAGAACAAACAGGCCATGCATAGTGGTGCACACCTATAATCCCAACACTCTGGGAGGCTGAGGCAGGAAGATGACAAATTTGAGCCCAGCCTGAGCAGTTTAGCAGCTTAGTGAGACCTTGTCTTAAAATAAAATATAAAAAGGACTGGAGATATAGCTCAGTGCAAAGGCCCTGGTTTCAATCCCCAGTACTGCAAAAACAAAACAAAACAAACAGCGAAAAAAGAAAGACAAAAAAAGAAGCAGCCAACTATAGAAGAAAAAACACAGAAAATAAGAAGAAAAAACACAGAAAATAAGAAAAAAATAAGAAGTACGAAGTTCAAGGTCCAGATCTTTTTCTTTTTTTTTTTTTTTTTTTGTGTGTGTGTGGTGCTGGGGATCAAACCCTGGACCGTATACATGCAAGGCAAGAGCTCTACCACTGAGCCACATCCTCAGCCCAAAGTCCAGGTCTTTACCTCTCACTCAACCTATTTCTAAATTTATAAATCAAGGAACTACTTCCCTGGGGATTTTTATAAGGAGTGCATGAGACCATGTGTGTAAAAGCCTGCTCACTGTCAAGCACAGTGTCCGGCATGTGGCAGCCACTAACTGGGCACATGGATGGATGAGTGGATAAGAGAATGAACCCCAAGAGAGAGGGCGGAGAATCAGATCCAAGCCTTCCCCACCTCACCTCTCCCCCAGGACTTGTAATTACGTTACCCTGGGGCCTGTCTCCTTGTCCCCGCCTACTGGATGATTCCAGGATGAGACCCACCCCCACCCCTACCTGTCTTCCTGCTACCTCTCTCCTAGCCCCAGACCAAGGCCATGGCCCCTGAGGCGAGCCCAGAGAGAAGCTGCTCCCTCCACAGCTGCCCCCTGGAGGATCCTTCCGGCTCTTCAGGACCTGCACAGACATCCACCCTCCAGGCTCTGGACCCATCGGGGCCTTTAGGCCCGGGTCATTTTGCTTATCCTAGAGCACCTCAAGAATATCAAGAAGGTAGCTCGTTACTAGGGACTGGAGACCAGGCAGCTTTGTGCTCCCATGGCTCCAATCGCAGCCCTTCCCCAGCCTCCTCCCAGCGTGATGGAGTCTGGAAGCCACCTTCTGTGCAGCGTCATGTGGTCAGCGTCAGGTAAGGGGGTCCTGTATCCTGCCGGCTGCCCCTGGAAGGCAGAATGGGGCTTAAAAGTGGGCAGAGCCCCGGGGTTTTGAACTCCTTTCTTAGGAGGCAGCATGGATGGCCCCTGCCTCTTCTGGAGGAAGCAGCCTTCTAGGGTAAGAAAGTGTTGGAATTCGAGAGTGGGAAAGTTTTAAAAGGACTGATACCGTCTTCTTCTATGTTCTTACCCCGTACCCCTCACCCACACTGCTCCCACCTCTACACACACAAACACACACACACACCACAAGAGGACTCTGGAAAATGGATGTCTTTTCTTCTCTTCCACAGGCAGGAACGGGCCTTTCGGATGCCAAAGAGGTAGGCCAGGGCCTCGCCTGGACTCCTAGGCTAGCCGCTCTGTGTATTCTCTGATCTACCCCCTCTTGGTGGACCCCAAGCTCCCCAGCCCCCTATAGCACACCTGACACCAACTCACAAGCTCCCTCCATCTTTCCCAGCTACTCCCAGCTGATTGCTGAGTGGCCAGGGGCCGTGCTGCTGGTGTGTCTGGCTGTCATCCTCCTCTGCACTCTGGCTGGACTGCTGGGTAGTCAGCTGCCTGACTTCTCCAATCCTTTACTGGTGAGAGGCCGAGGGGAGGAGGGGGTCCCCAGGCCTGGCCACTGCAACTCAGTCAAGTCAGGGGCAGAGTTGGCCCAGCTGGGGGTATGGTAGCAGTAGTGAGCGCCTGACCTTCAGAGGTGGTCTAGAGGTCACAGCCACAGTCCAGGCAGGGAACAAAGGGGCAGACCTCGGAAGGGCCCCAGTAGGGCCCTCCTCCTGTGCCTACCTGCTCTTCTCTGCCTCCTCCACACAGGGCTTTGAGCCTCGGGACACAGACATCGGGCGGAAGCTGGAGGTCTGGAAAGCACTGCAGGCCCTTACAGGCCCCAAGAAGCTGCTTTCCCTATCTCCAGACCTTGAGCCAAACAGGTAACGGGTTCCCATCTTTCTACTGAGGGTGGAAAAGGGAGAAAGAACAAGGTTTCTGGGGGACCATCGAGAGATCTCCCCAAGGCAGGTCAGAGGGGCCTGCGGGACTCATCCTAAGGGTACATGGCACTGATACCCTCTCTATCTCAGCTCAAACTCCTACGGCACTCTGAGCCCTGCAGCCTGGGGCAGGGCCCAGGAGAGCCTAGTCCGGGCACGCAGGATGGTGGAGCCCATGGAAGACAAAGGACAGGACAGCTTCTTCTGCGGCGCCCCTGGTAAGCTGCAGCCCAACCGGCGCTGCCCTCAGCAGTGGTCCCCACCCTACACAGTAGGATGCGCAGACAGAAAGGGAAGGCAGCCAGCCAGCCACATTCAAGCAAAAGGGGCTGGGTCACAGCTGGGGGATGAAACAGGGCTTGGTGCTCTAGCCAGGCAAAGTCAAGCTGGGAGGGCGTGGGACACAGTCAGGACCATGTTCCTGGGAATCTGACTCTCAGAGATCCCGGGTAAGCATCATCAGTTTGGTGGGCCCAGGACTTGGGGCCTAAGGGCTGAGTTCTAAGGGGGTGTATTGCAGAGAAGAACTACGCAAAGCTGGTGTTCGTGTCCACCTCGGGGGGCAGCCTGTGGAACCTGCATGCCATCCATTCCATGTGCCGGATGGAACAGGAGCAGGTGAGCCAGCTGGGGAGGTGCTGGAGGACTGAGGAGAACAAGGACACCTGGGAAATACAGTCCCAAGCCACACAGCCAGTTAGTGGCAATAAGGACTTCCAGGGTAGACCAGGGAAGAGCATTCCCTGCATAGAAAAGTGTTCCAGTCCTGCTGGGAGGCTCTAGGTTTGGGTAGAAGAGTCAGCTGTTTTTAGAAAAGTCAGGCTACAAAAAAGTCCAGTCTTAGCCTAAGGATTTTCAAAAGGTCCTGGGAGCTGGATGTGGTGGTACATGCCAGTAATTCCACCCACTCTGGAGTTTGAGACAGAGGATTGCAAGTCTAAGGCCAGCCTGAGAAATTTAGCAAGACCTTGTCTCAATAAAAATAAAAAAATAAATAGAGAAGGCTGGGGATGTAGCTCAGTGCTAGAGTACTTGCCTAGAATTTGTGACAACCTGGATTCAATCCCTAGTACCAGGAGTTTATAAAATAAAGGTCCTGAAAAAAAAGGACCCCAAAAGGTAGTGAGGAGGCCCTTGCTCAGGGAGCTAAAATTGAGCTTCAAGGGTCAGCCTGAAGCAACCCAAGCAGTGTCAATTCAATTATGCTAACTGGAAAATCGTCTCCAGTGACATCTATAAAAAGGGTTACTGTTAGAAAACTGTGTGAAAAACACTCCATAGCCGAACCCTCCCACATACACAGCAGGATATCTGAATATATGCTCTAGATCCTGTAATCCCAGCACTCTCACACAGGAGGATCAAAATTTGACCCCAGCCTGAGTAACTTCAGACTTAGAACCTTTCTCAAAATAAAAAACAAAACGGGCTGGGCATGTAGCTCAGTGCAAAGGCCCTGGATTCAACTCTCAGTGCCAAAAAGAAGATAAAGGTGTTCTGGAGAACCAGGTGTGGTGATGCACACCTGTAATCCCAGCAATGGGGAAGCTGAGGCAAATAATGAATTCAAGGCCAAGTCCAGCCTGGACCACATAGCAAGGCCTTATTTTGAAAGGGAAAAAAATGTACAGGAGTCAGAAGCCTGAATTCAAGACCAGCTCTAAGGTTTCTCTGCTACATGACTTCTTAACCTCTCAGTGCCTTAGTATTTAGATATGATTGTTTTGTTTTTGTGGTGCCGGAGATTAAACTCAAGGCCCCATACGGCTAAGCATCCACTCTACCACTGCGCTATACTTCCAGCCCCCATATATGGTAAACAGGGATAATAACAGTACCTCTTTCATAGGAACGTTATGACAATCAAGCAAGGTGGAATTTTAGAAAGCACAGCATATACTGACTGGCGATTGTGATCGTTCAATAAACATTACCATTGCTGTCGCTATGCTCTCAAGCCCAAGTCACACAGCAGTTGATGGCAGAGCAGGCCCTCTGACTCCCAGGCCCTACATCAGCAGCTGTGATATCAACAGCAGGATGGGAAAGGAGAGGACTCATTAAGTCTGAAAAAGAAACAGCCTAGGGAGCTGGGGATTTAGCTCAGCGGCAAAGCGCCTGCCTGGCAAGCGCAAGGTCATGAGTTCAGTTCCCCGGTACTGGAGAAAAACCAAAAAGAAAAAAAAAAAAAAAGAAACAGCCCAGGGAGAGGGATAGGTGGCTGAGGTTCTGCAGGGACCCCGATCCTGATGTGTTCTGGCCTCTTACTTTTCCCATTGCTTGCTTCCAGCTCCCTGGCCTGTCAGCTCTATTCCCACTCGCACTTCTATCTCAGACAGTACACAGTTGGGGTGCATGATGTCTAGGGGCCTAGGGCAGAGCCTCGCAGGCTGAGGCCTTGGGCAGCATTTCTGAGGCTCCTTTTTGGCTGAGCCAGGATGTAGCTGCTAGCACCCGGACTGGGAGCCATGGGCATGCTGAGACCAGCCAGTTCTGCTGGGCCGTCAGGGTGCTGCTTAGGCCCTGCCCCGCAGCCCGAAAGGAGGTGTGCAGGCCCAGCACAGGGCTAGAAGCCTAGGACAGGGCTGGACATACCTAGGCCTCTGGACTGCCCACAAGTTCTCTCCTGCCATGTGCCCTACAGATCCGTTCCCATCCCCGCTTTGGGGCTCTGTGCCAGCGTACAGCAACCAACGAGTGCTGCCCCAGCTGGTCCCTGGGCAACTACCTGGCTGTGCTCTCCAATCGCTCCTCCTGCCTGGACACCACCCCAGGGGACGCAGCCCGCGTGCTGGCCCTGCTTCGGTCTTGCGCCCCCTACTACCACCGCGGAGTCCTGGAGCCCTCATGTCTGGGACCTGGGCAGGACAAGCCCCCACACTGTGCCCAAGTTCCCACCAAGTGCTCCCGGAGCAGCGCTGTCTACCAGCTCCTGCATTTTATGCTAGACAGGGACTTTCTGAGCCCCCAGACAGCTGACTACCAGGTGCCCTCCCTCAAGTTCAGCCTGCTCTTCCTGCCCACCCTGAAGGGGGCCTCCATGATGGACATCTACCTGGATGGCCTGGCTGAGCCCCGGCTGGTGTCCGACAACTACACGTCCATCAGTGGCATGGACCTAGGCATCAAGCAGGAGCTGCTGAAGCACTACCTGGCCCTGGACACGATGTACCCGCTGCTGGCACTGGCTGCCATCTTCTTCAGCATCACGCTCTACCTGCGTTCGCTCTTCATCACCGTCATGGTGTTGGTGGGCGTGCTGGGCTCTCTCCTGGTGGCCTTCTTTCTCTACCACGTGGCCTTCCGCGTGGCCTACTTTCCCTTCGTTAACCTGGCAGCCGTGGTCTTGCTCAGCAGCGTCTGCGTCAACCACACCCTCATCTTCTTCGACTTGTGGCGCCTCAGCAAGAGCCAGGTGCCCTCAGGGGGACTGGCACAGCGCGTAGCCCGCACCATGCACCACTTCGGCTACCTGGTGCTGGTATCTGGCCTCACCACCGGCGCCGCCTTCTACGGCAGCTACCTGAGCCGCCTGCCCACGGTGCGCTGCTTCGCGCTTTTCATGGGCACGGCCGTGCTGGTGCACATGGCGATCACACTGGCCTGGTTGCCCGCCTCGGCCGTGCTGCAGGAGCGCTACTTGGCGCGGGGCTGCGTGCCCAGGGCGCAGGGCCCGCGCGGCGGCAGCGACCCCTGGCGGCTGCTGCTGGCGGTGCACCGGCGGCTGCGTGGCTTCCGCAGGGCCGCCGCCATCCTCTCGCGCTTGCTGTTCCAGCGCCTGCTGCCTTGTGGCGTCATCAAGTTCCGCTACATCTGGATCTGCTGGTTCGCGGCGCTGGCAGCAGGGGGCGCCTACATCGGTGGCGTCAGCCCACGCCTGCAGCTGCCCATCCTGCTGCCGGCCGGCGGGCAGGTCTTCCGGCCCAGTCACCCGTTCGAGCGCTTCGACGCCGAGTACCGCCAGCAGTTCCTGTTCGAGCAGCTGCCTGCGGACGAGGGCGGCCACTTGCCAGTGGTCCTGGTGTGGGGGGTGCTGCCGGTGGACACAAGCGACCCTCTGGACCCCCGCAGCAACAGCTCCCTGGTGAGCGACCCCGACTTCATGCCCAGCAGCCCCGAAGCGCAGCAGTGGCTGCTGTCCCTGTGTCACGGAGCCCGCAATCAGAGCTTCTTCGGCTCGCAGCCGCACGGCTGGCCCACGCTGTGCTTCGTGGAGGCCCTGCAGCAGTGGATGGAGAGGCCGGCCTGTGCCGACCTCTGCTGCGGTCAGTCCGATTTCCCCTGGGCCCCAGAACTTTTCCTGCACTGCCTCAAGATGATGGCCCTGGAGCAAGGCCCCGACAGCAGCCGTGACCTGGGACTCCGCTTCAATGCGCACGGCAACCTGGCTGCGCTGGTCCTGCAGTTCCAGACCAACTTCCCTTACAGTCCTGACTATGGCCAAGTCCACCACTTCTACACCGAGGTCAGCCGCTGGCTGGCAGCCGAGCTGGGCAGGGCACCTCCAGGCCTTCGCCGAGGGTGGTTCACCAGCCGTCTGGAGCTATACAGCCTGCAGCACAGCTTGAGCACCGAGCCTGCTGTGGTGCTAGGCCTGGCTCTGGCTCTGGCCTTTGCCACTCTGCTGCTGGGCACCTGGAACGTCCCCCTCAGCCTGTTCTCCGTGGCTGCTGTGGCAGGCACCGTGCTGCTCACCGTGGGACTCCTTGTTCTGCTTGAGTGGCAGCTCAACACTGCCGAGGCCCTCTTTCTCTCTGCGTCCGTGGGCCTCTCCGTGGACTTCACTGTCAACTACTGCATCTCCTACCACCTGTGCCCACACCCAGACCGCCTGAGCCGTGTGGCCTTCTCCTTGCGCCAGACCAGCCGCGCCACAGCAATGGGGACGGCAGCCCTGTTTGCATCTGGTGTGCTCATGCTCCCTGCAACGGTGCTGCTCTATCGAAAGCTGGGCATCATTCTCATGATGGTCAAGTTCGTCAGCTGTGGCTTTGCCAGCTTCTTCTTCCAGTCTCTGTGCTGTTTCTTTGGACCAGAGAAGAACTGTGGACAGATCCTCTGGCCCTGTGCCCACCTGCCATGGGACGCTGGAACCGAGGACCCTGATGAGGAGAAGGCACGATCGGGGCCAGTGGCTCCCGGTACCTGCTCAGAGCATTATGAGCTTCAGCCCCTGGCACGGCATCGGAGCCCCAGCTTTGACACCAGCACAGCCACCAGCAAGCTGTCCCACCGGCCCTCAGTCCTCTCAGAGGATCTGCAGCTGCATGACGGTAACTGCTGTGCTCGGCCTCCCATTGCCCCTGCGTCCCCAAGGGATCTGCTCCTGGATCACCAGGCAGTCTTCAGCCAGTGCCCAGCCCTGCAGACCTCCTCCCCCTATAAGCAGGCCTGCCCCAGCCCCAAAACCTGGGTCAGCCAGAACTCCCAAGGACAGGATGCCAAGCCCCTGCAGGCCTTACCTGAAGTTCCGGCCCATTCGCCCAAGCCCAAGGCTGAAGAGCTTCCTGATGGCCTGTCCTCCTCAGCCAGCACCCTGGAAGGACTCAGCGTCTCCGATGACACCTGCCTAAGCACCTCTGAGCCCAGCGCACGTGTACCAGATTCCATGGGCGCCTCCCCAGATCTGGAAGACATCGGGAAGCCAGCTCCTGAGCTGGGCCAGCTGAACGGGAAACGTGACACCCTGTGGCTGGCACTGAAGGAAACCGTGTATGACCCAACACTGCCCAACTCCCACCAGAGCACCTCCTCCTGGAAGGGCCGTGGGGGCCCAGATGGCAGCCCTGTGGTACTGCCCAACAGCCAGCCAGATCTCCCAGATGTTTGGCTCCGCAGGCCCAGCACCCACACCTCAGGCTACAGTAGCTGAGGGAGGCCAGACCTGGATGCAGAACCCTGTCGGCGATGAGAAGGCAGGGGCAGCACCGGCTGGAGCCTGAAGGTATTTCCCTAAACCAACATGGAGAAGCCTCATCCTCCAACTGTGAATTTAAAACCCTGCCAGAAGTTCCAGCCTTGATCTGTCTGCTACTTACCCCTACATCTGGAGGACTGAGCAGGGGAGAGCCTTTGGAAGGAATACCAGGGCTCCTCCGCCCCAACAGTGCCAACAAGGACCCTCCTCCGGAAAGGGGAGAGGCTAGATGTGCAGCCCCAGCCATTAGGGAGGCTGACCTGACCCCCACACACCTGGCAAGAAGTTCAGTGACTGTAAGGTACTCTGTCCTGGGATCCCGCCAGGGTACCTCACTGACCAGAAGCGCCCTCGCAACCTGCGCAGCATCCTAGATCCCATCCCTTTCAAGGACTTCATCAGGATGAGTCTTGGTGTTCAGGGAGGCTCTCTGGGTCAGAATTCAGCTAGAGCCTCTGTCCTGAACGGCCCTGTTCTGCTCACACTCACTGGTCTGACCAGCAGTTTTTCAAGGCCAGCTAGCAGAGATGGCAGCAGGGAGTAAGGCAGAAGAAGCAGCATGGTCAGCCTCACAGCATCGACAAGTGCAAGATCCCTCTTTGGAAGCAGACTCCTGGGCTCTCTGTTGATGAACGGTAGTCATCCTCTCCATCCGTGCACCTGTTGGTCTCCTTGAACGCTCACTACTTCACTACAGGGTGGCCTGCAGTTGGTCAGGTTCTTTTACCCCCAAATGCAGGTAAAGACATTGAGACTAAGACTGACTGATTTATCCAAAGTCATGTTGCCTGTCAAAGGCAGAGCAGTTCCCTGGTCCATTCTACCGCCAACATTCCAAGTTCTCCTCCTGGCTACCGGCTTCAGGAACACTGGGCCCTGGCTGGCTTGATCCCTCGCTTCTTGCACCCTCCCCCAACCCGCCTTCTCGGATGTCTCTTTGTAAATCCTGCCTCCCCTTTGCACCTCTCTCTGTCTCTAGAGAGTGTTGTACTCTGAGCCAACCCTAGAGTTCCTTCCTGTCTCCTCTGTGTTCTCCTCTGGAATCCTCGGAGACACCTCCCCATCATGGGGCAGCAGGGCTGGTGTGACTCTCCAGCTCCAGGGGCTATGCCTCTCCTCTGGTCCCAGGGTGCGGATTGGTCTGAGAGTGGAGAGGTTGAGCAGAATCCAGTTGAGGCAGGAGCTCGGATCTGCCCTTTGGGAGAGTGATTCTAAAGCTGCTCCCAAGATCAGGGCCCCAGTTTCTTAAGGATGGATGTCTCCGGGAGATACTGAGCAAAGTGAAACTTGGCTGTCCTTCCCTGACAGAGTCTGTCCTGAGGTTTCACCCATGCAGGAGCTCCTGACGCTAGGTAGCATTGAAAAATACCATATAGTCTTACAAGGAAAATAAGTGTAGAAGGAGACTCAGACACCCACCCTCATGAGCTCACCCTCTGGCGAGGAAAACAGGTTAGGTGCACAGGCAGGCATCGGATGGGTCACTTTGCTATTGCTGCAGCTAGTACCCAGGAAGAGGTAACGAAAGGCTTCCTGAAGCAGGAATGACTGAGCGAGGCAAAGGAAGACCCAGTATCTCAGACTAAAAGGGACCATCAGCATCATCAGCTCCAGAGGTGTCCACATGTTATAGCCTAAGGACTCTCCCTTCAAAGCCCCTTGTGTGCAAGCCCAACGTGTACAGCAGATAAGCGGCAGCTACTCTGATGGGTGCAGGGTGGGAGACAGAGCCAGCCCAGCCTCCCTTTCTGCTGCAGCTCTCTCCATGGGCCCTGCAGAACCGCAGGCTCTGGAAGCCCGGGGAATGTAGGCAGAAAACTACTGATCCAGGCCATTTTGCAGGTCATCAGAGAAGGAAAGGGATTTTTCCAGGGCCAGACAGTCTGGGGCAAAGCCGGAGGTATATCAGAGGGTGTTTTTGTTCTATTCTGTTGTGTTGCTATGTTCTTAAGACCTACCTCCCACCCCAGATAGTCTAGGAAAAGTGGAGCAGGACCCAAATGAGACAGACTTAAGAATTATGGAAGAGAGAGACATCAGTGCAGTTGCCCCTCAGCGTCCACCCAAATCCGAGGATGCCCAAGTCCCTTGTGTACAATGGTGTATTCGCATATATCCTATGCATATCCTCTCATATACTTTAAATTGTGTCTAGATTACTTATAATATGTAATATGATATATATGCTGTGTAAATTGTTGTTATACTGTACTGTGTTTAGGGAATTATGACAAAAAGTCCATATGTGTTCAGTTCTGATGTGATTTATTTTTCTGCTAATAATTTTGGTCTGTCATTGGTTCAGTCCACAGATGCAGAATCCATGATTGATATGGAGTGTTGATCATATAAGATGGCTTCTTGCAAGATAAGGAAATCAAGATAATTAACTCCTGGCCAGGCAGGGGCACACACCTGTAGTCCCAGCTACTCTGGAGGCTCTGGCAGGAGGATCACTTATGCCTAGAGGTTGGGGCCATCATAAACAACGTGATGAGACTTTGTTTAAAAAACAAAACAAAGCAACAAAATAAAGCAAATTTAAAAAAAAAAAAAAAAAAAACTCCTGACAAGCCAGGTGTGGTGGCATACACCTGTAATCCCAGCACTCAGGAGGCTGAGGCAGGAGGATAGCCACAATTTCGAGGCCAGCTTGGGCTACATGGTGAGTTCAAAGCCAGCCTGAACTGAGCTACACAGCAAGAGTCTGTCTCAGGGAGAAAAAAATCCCGATACCAGGAAAGCAAGGGAGTGACTAGGACCTAATTTGGACCTGTCCCCCTGAGAGTTTCAGTGTCCCTCTCCCTCTCCCATGCTGGGGATTGAACACCCCTTTTAAAATTTATTTTTATTTTTACAACAGGGTCCCACTAAGTTGCCCAGGCTAGCCTGGGATTTGCAGTCTTCCTGCCTCAGCCTCCCAGAGGTAGGGGTTATAGGCATGCACCACTATACCCAGCTGGGTCTCTTTCTTTATGTCCAAGAGGCATTCAGGCTTTCTGGCCTGCAGTTGCTCTTCAAAGTCCTGGCTTCTCTGTGACATGGACTGTGTCCCTCTTTTATCACAGTCAGGCTGGAGAGCCCTGATCTTATCAGATAATAAGCCTTGGGGAGGATAAAGTGACCCATTTTTCCTTTTTTTTGTGGGGGGGGCGTTGGTTTGGTTGGTTTTTTTGAGACAGGGTCTCACTACGTAGTTCAGGCTGGTCTTGAATTCACTGTGTAGCCCAGGTTGGCCTTGGACTCACAGTGATCCTCCTGCCTCAGCCGCCTGAGTGCTGGAATTACAAGTGCGAACCACCATGCCTGGCTAAGTGACCATCTTCTTAAGCCTGAGTAGTTCTGCCTTGGGCTGGGGGTGTAGGTACTTTGTACTTAGGATGTACAAGGTCCTGGAGTTCACCACCAGCATCAGAAAAGAACAGAGAAGGCAAGAAAAAAAAAGTGAAGAATCCTGCCTTGACTCGAAAGAGGATACAGTCTCTGCTGAGCAGCTCACGTAGGCTCTTACACTCCATGTGTGGAGGACCATGAGGTACACGAAGCCTAAAGAATCTGCTCCCTCTTGTGTGTCTTACAAAGGCAGCTGTTGCTGTCTGGGACTGGGGCTTCAGCACTGCCTGAACACCACTCCTGAAGTTTTAGAGTGAGGCAGGTCGGGGGTGAATGGGCACCGGGAGTCTGGGCACACTTGAAGGCCCTCCTCAGGGACTTCTAGGTCCCAGTCTTGCAAGTCATTGCCACATAACCCAACAGATGAGCCACAGCAGCTGATGTGTTGACTGGATTTATTCTTTAAGTTACTAGCCTCAGAGGGCAGGAAGAACCCTGCAGTTGCCCAAAGTGATCTCTTCTGAGTTGGGTGTGTAGCCAGTGGCGTGCTTGCCTGGTATGCCCCAAAGCCTTGGCTTTGATCACCAGTGTTGACACAAACACATATCACCTCACACCTAGAATAGCCAAACCAACAGCAGGCAACACACATTAGCAAGTAATCCAGCCCGCCTTTCTAACCCTGACTTTTGGATATAGGACTTAAAACATTTCTAATTTAAGCATATTTATTTTCTTCGTTGTTATTTGGGTGGTTACTCTGAGTATGTGGCCCTGGACTTAGGTAGCTTACATGGAACAAGGTGTGTGAAAACCACTCAAAGCATCGTGCAAAATTCAAGAAATAGTTTCTTTCCACTGAGATACTTGAAAATAGGGCTACATCTACACTCATTCAGGCCATTACTCCTGTGTGCCACAGGTCCTTGACATGGGTCTACCACTGAGTTATAACCACAGCCGGAAGAAAGGCTTCCCCGACTGGGAATTGAGCTTGGGCCACAGCAGTGAGAGTGCTGAATTATAAGCACTACACCACCAAGGAACATCTTTAGATTTTTATCTTTATCTTTATATCTTTAGATATAACTTGGTATATAGCCAGGTACATGTCTGGATCTCTCCAGAGCTTGTAATCCTACCAGTTGGGAAGCCAAGAAAGGATTTGGAGTTGGAGACTGGCATGCATTACATAGCAAGAGCCCATCTCAAAAACAATAAAAGAACTCAGGGACTTGGTTCCTTTGGGAAAACCCATCCGTCCCTGCATGTATGTGGTGCTTTGATGTTGGACAATGATTGATTGGACTGGCAGAATCTTAGACTTTACTGATGTATGGCATATCTCACACCATGGTATCAGGCCATATCCCAGCTTGAGCTGATACTGAAAGAGACATTTCACAAGAGATGTACAAGGCAGACTTCTCCCCTCCCTCTCCAACTCCTCCATTCTTCCCCCAGTGCAGGAGAGGACAAAGAGACAGCTGAGGGCTCAGGAAAGAGGATACCAGTTGGGGGTTTACCAAGTGGTGAAGTGCTTGCTTACCATGCATAAAGCCTAGGGTTGTCCCCAGCACAAAAAAGAGGACGGGGAGATGCGGTTTCCAACCTCACCTCCAGAGAGGATCGTCGTTGTTTCTTCCAAGTCAGCCTCACTTTGTCCTGTAACAACACAGCCGAGCAGCCAGTAGCACTGCAGCACCCACGCCATGAGCGCCAATCTGATTCTCCTGACAACACGGAAACCAGGCATTCAGTACCCTGCCCGCGTTCCTCCTTCCCACAGGGACGCCTGGAACTCAAAGTGTACAGGTGTTGATGCCTAGGGAAAGAAACCAACGCAGTTCGTGGGAAAATGGGAAATAGAAAAAAACCACTATGCTATGTAAACGTGTGCCTGTGAGGAAGAGCTGGAAAGACTCTGCTAGAACTCCTCTTATAATCATCAGTGTGATGTCCCAAAAAGAGGGAAAAAACCTGTACTTTCCCAAATTCAGACATCAAATCTTCAGTGCTGACAAAATCACAGCATTGAGCAGATGGGTGTAGATTTGTTTGTTTTAAATGCAGATTTGAACCCATGACCACTAACTTCCCTGGACTTTCAGCTCTGCCTAATTAGTTTCCATTCCTTCCTGTGGTGTTGGGAGTTGAAGCCAGGGCCTCAGTCATGCTTGGCAAGTGTTCAAGTGTTTGACCACTGAGCAACTTCTCCAGTCCCACTTTCCATGCTAATTACGGCCTTCCATCCTTTGTTGTGACCGTTTGCTGTTTTCTCCACCTTCCTCAGACACCTGCTGCCTTCCATCTGCCTGCACGGCACCTGCTTCCAGCGCACAGAACAACCTCATTCTTCACAAAGAAAACCCCAGCCCTCGGGCAGAAAGGTATCAAATCCCTGATTCGCGATTTACCCACCCCTCACTGCTTCTCTTCCCACTCGTCTTACAACAAAGGCAACAGCCAGTGGGTTTACACACTGCATCAGAGGCCTTTAGACTGGAGCCCCTCTCCCTCCAAGAACTTTCTCCAAGACAGAGACAGACGCAGATCTTTCTAAGGGAATCACTTTCCAGAGCCGGCTCCCACCTATGTGCCCACCTCACGTTGGTGAGCCTGACAGGAGCCTCAGGCCTGCGGGTTCCCTTCCCGGCCTGTCCTTTCCCAGTTCTCAGTCCTGCTCCGAAAACTTGCGCTGTACTCAAAAGATAAACCTGGCTAGTTGAGAACCCTCTGCCTCAAGAAGTCCTTGAGAGAGCAAAGCCTGTAAGAGCTTCTAGAAGTTCCTACACCTTCTCCTTTTAAGAATTCCATTTCAAACCAAGTGTGGTGGCCCACACGTATAAATCTCAGCACTGCAGGCTGACGCAGGAGAATTGTAAATTCAAGGCCAGCCTGGGCTACTGAGCAAGTTCAAGGCTGGGTTACTGTATAGTGACACCCTGTCTCAAAACAAAGCAGAAAATTCAGCTTCAGGCCTGGGATGTAGCTCAGTGGGGGAGCACATTGCTCACATACAGAAATTTCAGCTGGGCATGGTGGCGCACGTTTGTAATCCCAGCACTTGGGAGGCTGAGGCAGGTGGGTCACTGTGAGTTAAGACTCCAGCCTGGGCTACATAGTAAGGCCCTTTTGGAAGAAAGGAAGAAAGAAAGAAAAGAAAGAAACAAAGAAAGAAAGAGAAGAAAGCTTCAGTTTCATGGTGATACAGGGCATATGATATAGGGATAATACATGGACCTCCAAATAATATAAGGGAAATATTATAATTCCCAACCTGCTAGATTTCTGCAATGCTGACTTCATGTTTTCTAAAATCAAAGAATGAATTCTAGGAGCACTGGAAGTTAAGTAAGAGTAGGAAGAATTTATTGAAAGAAAGAAAGTTTCTGTCTACGAGGAACAGAAGGGGTCTGGAAAGTGGGTGGCCCAACAACCCCACATCTCAAGGGTGTTTTACTGAGCAAAGCCACAAGGTGAGGAAGTTCAAAGTGGGACAAACTATAGTCAACTAGTAAGATCACAAGTATAGTCTCTTAGGTAATATTGATTAAATGGGATCAAATGGGGAAGCAAGTCACATAGCAAGTGCATGGGATGGATGGGACTTTCCTGGAAGGAAAGGGTTAAGGGTTAAGGACATTTGGTCCTCCTCCCCAAGGTGATTGATGCCTATTTAGAATAGGCCAGGAGCAGTGGTACACACAACCTATAATCCCAGCACTGGAGAGGCTGAGGCAGGAGGATCACTGCATGTTTGAGATCAGCCTGGGCTATATAGTGAGTTCAAGGCCAGCCTGAACTACATGACAAGACTTTGTCTAAATATATACATAGATATATCTATATAGATATAGATATAGATCTTACTGCTATTCATTCCCAGGGGAAGTACATGGATGTAGTCCTTCCTTTTTTTGTTAAAGCCTGACCTTCAGTGAACGTGCCTCCAGTCACAGCTGTCTCCTGTGCTAAGGACCCAGTCCTGCCTAACTGCTTGTAATATTTATAACTAACTTAGCTGTCTACAATAATGGGGCTAGGGACATAGCTCAGAGGTAAACATATGCTGTAAACCATTCCTCTACAGAAGCATGTGCAAGGCCTTGGGTTCAATCTTCAATACAGGAAGAAAAAAAAAAAAAAGAAAAGAAAAGAAAAAAAAAATATATATATATCAGGATCAAGTGTGAGACCCTGGTTCTAATCCAGAGTACACTAAAAAAAAAGAAAAAGAAAAATTCAATTTCAAAAGTGAGCCAGGTGTGGTGGCACACGCCTGTAATCCCAGCACTCAGAAGGCTGAGGCAGGAAGATCTTTGCGAGTTCGAGACCAGCCTGAGCTACAAAGTGAGCTCAAGGCCAGCCTGAACTGCATAGCGAGACCCTGTCTCAAAAGATTAAAAAAAAAGAATCAAGAGTGAGAAAGTTGACAGAGGATGCATATTAGTCACCTCTATTTGAGTTAGCATAAAATATTAGCCCTCCTTGATAGAAAGTAAGTCTGGCAGACTGTGGTGGTGACACCTGTAATCCCAGCTACTTGGGAGGTTGAGGCAGGAGGATTGCAAGTTTGAGGATCGCTGGGGCAACTTAGCAAGTCCCTGCCTTAAAAAAAAAATTTAAATGAGACTAGAGATGTAGCTAAATGATGGAGCACTTGTGTAGTATTGTGAGGCCTGAGGTTTAATCCCCAGCACAGGAGGATAGAAAGAG